CCTGTGTGTGTGTCTGTGTGTGTGTCTGTGTGTATGCGTGTGTGCGTGTGGGTGTGTATGCGTGTATGCGTGTGTGCGTGTGTGCGTGTGAGTGTGTGTGTGTGCGTGTTCGTGTGTGGCTGCGTGTGTGGGTGCGTGTGTGCGTGTGTGTGTGTGTGCGTGTGTGCGTGAGTGTGTGTGTGTGTTGTGTGTGTGTGTGTCTGTGTCTGTGTCTGTGTGTCCGCGGTTTTGCATCGAGCGCGTTCGGCAACGCTCGTGTGCAGCTCGGCCATCGCAGCACACGAGGCCCGGGCACACGCGAAAGTGCACTGCCGTGCCTGCGGAGGTAAACGAACATGCGCCTGCGCGTGCGTGAGCGCGCGGATGCTGTTTTTTTTTGTTGCGCGGAATAACTCTGCCCCGACCGGAGCCATGGGCCTAGAAGTGCTTGGCACCTGACCACCGGCTGCACGGTACAGTCGGCCGGTATCATAAGGATGCCAGATAAGGATGCAAAGGCATCGGACCCTCATTTCGAAGCTTTTCGAGCGGGGCGCGGCCAACGAAAGTGGCCAAGGATGGGCCGAGGAGGCAAGGATGCAAGGGTACCCTTGGAAAGGTTGCCCATCCTCACTATGCGGGTTGACTGTAGGCATATGATAATCCAGACATGCGAAGACCTGATATTTTCGATGCGCGGTCCCTGGAAGTCCCGACTCTTTCCCCGGGGCCCCTTTCTCATCCCGAGTCGTTTTTTGACGGCCCCGAGGCCCAGCGAGGGCCCACAGAGGCCTAGAACGGCCAAAAACCTCCCGTCGTGATTATTTTACGACGCGATCATGTCTGGGAAGAAACCTTGCGACATTGCTGGGCTGCGCTTCCTACGGTGTGCCCCAGGGCGTCTGCGGGCCTCTCCGGGGCCGCCACGGGCACGCGAAATCAGCTCCGTGGGGCTCTCCTGCCGGCTGGCAGGCCGACTTCTTCGCTGCGAGGGCACCATCATGGGACGGTGGCTCCACTGCAGCAGAGGAAGAAGAGGAGGAGGAGGGGGAGGAGGAGGGGGAGGAGGAGGGGGAGGAGGAGCAGGAGGAGGAGCAGGAGGGGAAGAGAAGGAGTGTTCCGGCTGGCTGACAGGCCGACTTCTTCGCTGCGAGGGCACCACCATGCGGGGGGCAACACGGGTGGGGTTGGGGCAACGGTGGGGTCGGAGGGAAGGTCGCTCCCAACGGCCCCTGGGAGAAGGAAGCCGCGTTCCCCAGCATCCGTCTTGGCAGAACCCTCCCTCCACGAACCTCCGATCATGGGAGTGTGGCTCCACTGTGGCTTTCGGGCTGCGCCGCGCGGGCCGCTTGGGGCGCGCCTGCCCTGCGCTGCTCTTCTAGGGAAGCGCGAGACGGCTTCATGTGGCACTCCGTGAGCGTCCCTCCGATCTCTGTGAACTTCTGCACGGCATCGGTGTGCGCCGATGTGCGAGCGATGCCGTGCGATTACCAGATGTGAGAAGTCTGTGCGAGGAAGAAGCACGCCTGGTCCTGGTCTCCTCCTCCTGGGTACCAGATACTGGTGGCTCCTGGGTCATCCGACGCGATCCTCCTCCTCATCCTTCTTTTTCTCCTCCTCCTCCTGCTCAAATCCTGCCCCTTGTAAAACATTTTTCCCTGTAGCACCCGGAGGCCAGTTTTTAGGGCGGGCTGTGCGTGTCGCCTGAAACTTCTTCACCACTCATGGCCCTCAACATGAAACATTGGCAACCGCTTCACAAATGGAGGGCGGCGGATGGTTTTCAAAATGCGGCTCTCGCCTTAGCGCCGCGCACATTCGTTCTTGATCAAGTGCAAGAGCTTCACGGATTGAGGGCGACCCGTTTTCACAATGTGGCTCTCGCCTTAGCGCCGCGCACATTCGACCCGACATTTTGCAAGCGTTTCACTGACTGAAGGCGACCCGTTTTCAAAATGTGGCTCTCGCCTTAGCGCCGCGCGCATTCGTTTGGAAAATTTGCAAGAGTGACACGGATTGAGCACGGCTCCTTTTCAAAATGTGGCTCTCGCCTTAGCGCCGCGCACATTCGTTTGGAAAATTTGCAAGAGTTTCACGGGGCGGTTCCTTTCCAAAATGTGGCTCTCGCCTTAGCGCCGCGCACATTCGTTTGTAAACTTTGCAAGGATTTCACGGAATGGTGTTTGGAAGGGCTCCCAATTACGAGGGTGAAACCATTACGTTGGTTCGCGTTTATGAAATCACAGGGATGGCGCTCTCCCCCGATTCAGGATCGTCAAGACGCAACAGTCAGGTTGATCCGTGGCGATGAAAACCCGAGAACGATGTTTTGGCATGCGTAATGTTCTTCAAACGGTTGTCTTCCAACGAGGCAGTTCCCCCAGTGGAAATGCACCCTTGTAGGGGCCTATGAAGAGGGAGCTTGGAGGGAGATGGATTCCAACATCGTTGATGACTCTTGGGTTTACACTGGTCCTCCTCGTCCTCCTCCTCCTGCTCCTTCGTGGGACTCTCGTGCGGCATTCCTGCGCATCGAAGTAGATGAGGTGGGCCACACTCCTACGCCGCAGCAGGCCGACACTTCCCTCACGGCAGCAAGCTCTTGAAGCGGGGGAAAACGAAACACGATGAAGGGGTGGACCCAGACATCCGGCGCTCCAATCTTTCCGGTGCGGGGATCCCGTGGTTTTCGTAACTGAGGGGGGAAGGAGGAGGAGGAGGAGGAGGAGGAAAGGAGGCGGAGGAGGACGAGGGGGAGGAGAACGAGAAGTAGGAGGAGGTCTGGACAACTAGCTCTACCAAGTTGGGGAGGCAGGTGAGGTGGAGGATACCATCTAGCAAGGGCTGGCTCCACCAGCGCGGGTTGGTGCGACCACCTCCTCCTCATCATCACCAGCATCAGCATCGGCATCGGCATCGGCATCAGCATCAGCATCAGCATCAGCATCAGCATCAGCATCAGCATCAGCATCATCATCATCATCATCATCATCATCATCATCATCATCATGATCATCATCATCATCGTCTCTCCTCCTCGTCCTTCTCCTTCTCCTCCTCCGCCTCTTCCTCCTCCCTCTCCTCCTCTTCCTCCTCCTTCTCCTCCACCTCCTCCTCCTCCCTGCTCGTCGTCTTTCTCTTCCTCCTCCTCCTCATCATCATCATCAGCAGCAGAATCATGAGCATCATGATCATCAGCATAATCATGATCAGCAGCAGCAGCAGCAGACGCAGCAACAGCAGCATCAACATAGTCGGCATCATCATCCTCAACATCATCAGCATCATCATCGTCATCATCAGCATCATCAGCAGCAGCAGCATCGTCATCATCGTCATCACCATCACCATCATCACAAATATCGTCAGCATCAACAGCATCATTATCAGCGCCAGGATCAGCATTAGCATCATCACCACCACCACCACCACCAGCACCAACCTCATCACCAGCAGCATCATCAACATCATAACCTTCCGCATCAGCCGCAGCATCATCATTAGCATCATCACCATCAGCATACGCATCATCATCACCACCATCATCATCATCATCATCATCATCATCATCATCATCATCATCAGTCGCAACATCATCATAAACAGCATCATCAACAACGTCACCATCATCATGAATATCTGCATCATCATCAACATCAGCATCATCGTCATCATCACCATCGACAGCATCATCATCAGCATCACCATCACAACATCAGCAACAGCAGCAGTATCATCATCTTCATCATCACCATCATCATCATCATCAGCATCATGCGCCACCTCCGCCCCCAATTCCTCCTCTTCCTCCTCAGCATCATCATCGTTCTCCTCCTCCTTCCTCCTCCCGCCTCCTCCTCCCCCTCCTTCTCCTCCTCCTCCTTCTCCTCCTTCTCCTCCTCCTCCTTCTCGTCCTCCTCCTCATCCTCCTCCTTCTCCTCTTGCTCCTCCTGCTCCTCCTCCTCCTCCACCTCCTCCTCCTCATCCTCCTCCTCTTTCTCGTCCTCATTCTCCTCTTCCTCCTCCCCCTCCTCCGCCTCCTCCTCATCCTCTTCCTCCTCTTCCTCCTCCCTCCTCCTCCCCCTCGTCCTCTCCTCCCTCCTCCTCCCCCTCGTCCTCCACCTTCTCCTCCTCCTCATCCTGCTTCTTCTCCGCCTCGTCTTCCTCCTCCCCCTCATTCTCCTCCTCCTCGTCCTCCTCCGCCTCCTCCTCCTTCTCCTCTGCCTCCTCCGTATACTCCTACTCAGCATCATCTGCATTGTCATCAGCATCATCATCATCATCATCACCATCATCATCATCATCATCCTCCTCCTCATCATCATCATCATCATCAGCAGCATCATCATCATCATCATCATCATCATCGGCAGCAGCATCAGCATCAGCATCAGCATCATCATCAGCATCAGCATAATCCTCAGCATCACCAGTATCATCGACAGCAGTACGCATCATCAGCAGCATTATCATCATCAGCAGCAACAGCCTCACCATCATCAACATACTTAGCAGCATCATCATCAGCATCATCATACTCAACAGCAGCATCATAATCAATATCAGCCTCAGCCTCAGCACCATTATCATCATCAGCATCAGCAGCATCATCAACAGCATCATCAGCATCATCATTATCAAAATCAGCATTGGCAGCAGCATAATCAGCATCACCATCATCATCAGCATTATCAGCTTCAGCATCATCATTAGCAGCAGCATCATAATCATCATCAGCAGCATAAGTTTCATCATCAGCAGCAGCATCGTCATCATCAGCAGCAGCATCAGCAGCAGCACCATTAGCAGCACCATCATCAGCAGCATCAGCCTCATCATCAGCAGCATCAACAGCATCATGAGCATAATCATCATCAGCATCATCAGCATCATGATCAACAGTATCATCAGCATCAGTATAATCATCAGTATCATCATCATCATGAGTAGCATCCCCATCATCAGCAGGAGCATCAGCATCATCATTCTGATCGTCCTCACATTCATCAGCAACATCATCATCACCGGCATCATCATAAGCAGTATCATCAGCATCAGCAGCATCACCATCATCATCATCAGCATCAGCAGCAGCATTGCCACCAGCATCACCAGCAACCTCAACATCATCATGAGCAGCATCAGCATCAGCAGCATCAGCATGATCATCATCACCAGCATCACCATCATCATCATCAGCATCATCATCTTCATCTTCGTCATCGTAGTAACCATCATCAGCAGCAGCATCTGTACCTTCTTCTTCTTCTTCATCATCCCTCCTCCTCCTCAGCCTCGTCCCTGCTCCTCATCCTTCGCCTTCTCCTCCCTCTCCGCGCTCCTCCATCCTCCTCCTCCTCCTCCTCCTCCTCCTCCTCCTCCTCCTCCTCCTCCTCCTCCTCCTCCTCCTCCTCCTCCTCGCTCCTCCATCCTCCTCCTCGCTCGTCCTCCTCTCCGGGCCGATCTGCGTGACGCGCAAAAGGCACTCGCTGCGCGCTGCCGTGCACGGAGGCCCCTGCTCGACGACGGCCCCGCGCGGGGCGTGCCGGGCACCGACCACGGCTGGCTCGGGCGGGTGGCGCTCGAAACAGCGTGAAAGGTCAGAGAAGAAGAAGAATAATATCCAAGAAAAAGAAGAAGAAGATCCAATAATAAGAAGAATAAGAAGAAGAAGATCCAAGAAAAGGTCAAAGAAGAATAATAATAGTATCAAAGAAGATCCGCCCCCTAACCTGGGACCCCAGGAGGCCGAGAGGTGGGGAAGCAGCGGGGAAGGGGCGCGAGAGCCCGGGGAGGCAAGCCGCGAGAAGGCATGAAGCCAAGCGGCAGGAATCCTCGGAGGGAGGAGGGGGGAGGCTCCTCCCTTCTCCTCGTCGTCACCCCCCCCCCAGGAGGGAGGAGGCGGGAGGCTCCTCCCTTCTCCTCGTCGTCGCCCCCCCCCACCCCCCACCCAATCAGCCACGCTGGGGCGGGCGCCCGCGGGCCGTGGGAGGCTGCGACGCCTCCCCGCCCTCGGCAGGTGGCTCAAGCCTCTGGCTGCCTGCCGGGGGGGGGGGGGGGGGGGCAAGCCGCGCCGTGGGGCGAGAAGCGAAGGGAGGGGGGGGAGGGGAGGCGGCGGGGCAAACCTCCTGCTCCTGCTCCTGCTCCTGCTCCTGCTCCTGCTCCTGCTCCTCCTCTTCCTCCTCCTCCTCCTCCTCCTCCTCCTCCTCCTCCTCCTCCTCCTCCTCCTCCTCATGCTTTGTTTGTTGTTCCTCTTCCCACTTCCTCTCCTCCTCTCCGCATCCTCCTCCGATCCTCCTCCGTTCCCCTCCCCCTCCTTCTTCCTCCTCCCTTCTCCTCCTCCCTCCTACGCGCTCGCGCTGAGACAACGCTCATGACGGGCGGACGCTGGCCGTGCTCGGCCCCCGAAGCCCCCGCAGAGGCCCGGGACAGTCGAAGCACGACCGGCGAGGGCAAACGGGCCCCGGAGGCAAGGCTCGGGGCTTCTGCGGGCCCCGCGTTGACAGAGCCAGGCACCGCACAGCTGGGGGCCCAGGCCTCCGACGAGAGGATGCTGTCAGTGGCAACAATCCTCTCGTCGGCAACTTGTTGGTGACAACTTCTCACCAACAAGCTGTCACCAACGCTTGGTGACAACTTGACACCAACAAGCCGAAGAGACAACGCTTGGTGACAACTTGTCACCAAGCGTTGTTCCTTCGACTTCGACCTGCGTGGGCCGCCACTGGGCCCCGGGACCGGCAGGAGCGAGCCCGGGACTGCACAAAAACTACCCCCGGTGGAGGCGGTCGGGACCTCGTGGGCCACGGATTGGCAAAAGCAGGCTGGCGGGGCGTCAGAGGAGGAGAACTGGGAGAAGAAAGGGGCAGAAGATCACGAGGAAGAGGAAGGGGGCAGGGGCGGGGGGAGGAGGAGAAGGCAGCAGGCGCCAGGAACGAGGACGAGGAAATGGGGGGCTCCCAGGCCTTCTACACCCACAACCTCCTGGTCATCGCAACCTCGGTGAGGCTGGTCGCTGAGTCGGAGCGAGGCGATTGTAGGCACAACGCAGCACAATGTGTCGTCTTCGGGTGACCTGAAAGAGTGACCTCAGCAATTGATTTCGCTGGAAAAGAAGCATCATACGAGTGCCTTTGCAACGCGACACCGGTAGCACGAATTCGCTTCGCCCCCGCTCCTGCTGTTCTCACAGCGCTGCTGGCCCTCTGTGGTGGCCATCGGGTGGCCCCTTCCCCATTGATCTCGCTCGCACGCCGACGGACCCCAGGACCAACCTTTGGGCGACGCTCCCGATTGCTGGCTCCATTCGTCGGTGGGACCCTGGGCATGATAGAGGCCAGCTGCTTTTGGGGCCCCGTGCGGGTGAAGGCCTGTGCTTGTTGGCGCGTGGGCGGGGGGCGGGGGGGGGGCGATGGTCGCTCTGGGGGGGTCCTCGCACGCCTGCGTGACAACGGAGGCGTGGGGGCACCGCGTTTTTCCCCTGGCGCCGTTACCCAAGGGCACCTTTTCCACAAGCGTACCACTTGTCAAATCATGCGCGGCACCGCTGCGGTACTTATAAGACGCGGCATCACACGGGCGCCAACCTGTTCAAAGTGGGACTTTCCATGGGTTTCGAAGCGTTTTTGTCTCTACAACGCGACAGTGGCCGTCTTCCCGGGCGCCTTTACGGGTGGGCCGCTGAGGCTGCTACTGACTAGTAACAAACGGCACGTTCGCAGTACCCTCTTTTGCGGCCATCCTCCACCGTCTCGGCATCGAGGTGCAGCCTTAGGAGTTCTAGTGGGACTTGGAAAACTCTGTGAGACCTGCTCAAGAGCAGGAGCATACCGTAGACGAATCTATATATGTTCCGAACGTGTACTGCGCCGAACGCAACGGCCGCGTTGTCTATAGACGCATCGACCCCGAATGCGTCCATGTACGTAACGACACTCAATGTGTCTATAGACTCATGCGGCTAGACAGTGAGCTGTGGCTAGAAAGTGAGACCGGTGTTTGGCACACGTCTCGGATTCTCAGGTGTCGCTGCGCCGTTTGTCCTCGACGCGCCGAAGTAGACGACGCCGACACCAAGGCAAACCCAAGGCAGACTTTGCGTCCAGCGCCCAAGTAAACGACGCCGGCGCCACGGCAAACCCCGCGGCAAGCCCACCGCGCCCGAGGCGGCGTTTGCCCTGGTGGCCGCGGCGCCCTCTCCAAGACGCGAGGCCGCACGTCGACTCCCTCGAGGCGCCCCTGCAAGCGTCTCCCAGAGCTGTTTCACGCGACCTGCACTGCCCTACGATTCGGGTCTTGGACGCCACAGGTGGACGCCACAAGTGCCGCCCTCATTGTCCCTTCTCTACTCTGAGGGAAGATCATCGCCCAGGGTCGGTTGTTCTTCTTCAGCACCGTCGCAGCAAACGGGGAGGCGACAGACTGGTCTTCTAGAAGCAGGTAGACTTTGCCCTCCAAAGTGGAACTGCTTCAGAGTTGGGGTGTCCCACCGACCAGCGCGCGAGAACAGAACTCCCCGAGGTGCCCGCCCAAGTAGAGGGAGGAGGTAGGAGGGGGGAGGAGGGAGAAAACCGGCCCCCCGAAGATGCCACGCGAGCAGCCCTGCTCCGGATGGCCCGTTTCCGAAAACCTGTGCCCAACTTCTTCGAGGGGCAAGTTTCACCTCCGCCGAGATTCGCCAGCGGAGCCGCCCTTGCTCTACTTCGAGCGAGACTTCCGCCGCCTTCCGACGAGGAAGAGTGGGCAACCTCGCAACCTGTACTGGGCCTAGCTCGGGCATGTCCTCCTACAGGCAGATTTTGGACGAGAACTGGACAAAACAAAAAATGCCCCGACGTGTCGACAAGAATCGTCCCCAGCCATTTTTCCATTATGTTTGAATGTTCCTCCTGCCGGGGGACACGCCCGATTTCATCCCAGGCCCCTCGACCCAGTCAATCCGCCGGTGTGATTTTTGAGCCATCCTCGGCCCCAGAGGTCTCGACGCTTTCCCCCAGCGGTCCCCCGGGGGTAGATCTCCGCCCCGGATCCACGGTTGACGGCCCCGGGGGCCGAGCTCAGCCCCCGAGGGCCCAAAGATAGAAGTAAAAAAAAACAAATGAAGAAGTCGTCCCGTCAGAGGTCTGGGCTCTCGGCTCCTCGAAGGCGATGCACTTTCTGCAACGCCCCAGGTGGGTCCTCCGCCCGTGGTGGCGGTGGTGGCGGTGGTGGCAGTGGTGGTGGCGGTGGCGGTTGTGGCGGTGGTCGTCGTAGCAGTGGTCGTCGTCGTGGTCGTCGTCATGGTCGTCGTCATTATCGTCGTCGTTGTGGTCGTCGTCGTTGTGGTCGTCGTCGTCGTCGTCGTGGTCGTGGTCGTCGTCGTGGTCGTCGTCGTCGTCGTCGTGGTCGTCATCGTCGTGGTCGGCCCCGTGCCGCGCCCGCGGGGCCTGCAGACTCGCGGCCAGAGCCGGTGTCCTCCACTTCCCCTGGCATGTTTCCCGCTGCTGACGAGATGCTACGCCTCTGCAGAAAATCTCTGGGAACTTCATCTGATGGGCCGATTTCCCGCCACCACCACCACCATAGGTAGGAGGGAGATAAGGAGGAGAAGGAGGAGGACCTCCCCTCCTCCCCCTCCTCCCTTCTCCACCGTCCTACCTAGCTTAATGGTGGTGGTGGAAGATTGGCCCGTCATCATCGCCAGCATCAACATCTTCCTCTACCCTGAGACCTGGGCGCTGCAATTTGTTCACACCGGAAAAGACGCCCGTTTTCGGGCCTCGGGACCATCACGGTTCGATTCGATGCTGGAAGATGGGGTCGAGTGTTCTGGTCGTGACCGGTGTCGCGATTCTGACATTTTCTGTCACATGGAAAAAGTATGCTTTACCTCCGAGGGCCGCGGGCCTACGCCGGGCCCGAGGACCCTCAACAAAAAACGGAGCGGGACTAGAAGCGGGTCCCAGGGAACGGGCCCAGAGGTCTGAGAGTCCAACCCGTGGGAAAAAAAAACATCACGTCGGGGGTCTGGCGGCTTGGTATGGAGGCCGCCCCTACGGGGCCAGAGCGCATAGGGCCAGAGGGGCGCACCGCATCACCGACGATGCATCGGCGACGTCGGGATGGAGGACAGCGCACTTCGCATCGTGTCGCATCGCTGGTGCACCGGCGATGCGGCGCGATCGGCTGACCCGGTCTGCTCCGCCCCCCCTGTTCGGCGGCGGGACCGGGGGCGAATTGAGGAGGGGCGGATCTCCTCGAAAGGCTCGGAAGTCCTCGGGCCTGAAAAGTTGTCTGAGCTTTCCCCCGAGGGAACAAGAAACTCCTCCCAAGGCCGGAGGGCTTCTGAGAAGCCCCGCCGCCTTCTGAGAAGGTCTTCTCCTTCTCACTGCCCCCCCTCGGACGCGCCGCCGAACGTCGGTCAAGATCGGTCCCTGGACCCCTCCCAGATCCACCCGACGCGGTTTTTCACCCCGGATCGAATTTCGGGGGCCCCAGGGCCCGAAAACAGCCCCCCAAAGCCGCAAACGCCACGAGGACGCCTCGAACCTCGAACCTCGAACCTCGAAGCTTCGAACCTCGAACTTTCCCCCCTCGCTCGCCGCCGACTTGGCACGGGCCGCAGCGCAGGTCGCCACGCTTCGCTCGCCGGGGCCCCGCGAGGCGCGACGCGCTGCGGCCTGCGCGACCCCTCGCTGGGCGCCAGGGAGGGGGGGCAGCTCTGAGGCCCAGAGGGGGCGCAGGGAGGGGACGCAGGGAGGGGAGCAGGGAGGCGGCGCAGGGAGGGGGCGCAGGGAGGGGAGGCGGGGCGAGCGACGCGCGGAGTGCACGGGCCCTCGCAGTCCCGGGGGGCGACCTGCAGCCGGTACGGTCGGCCCGCAGCACAGGGATGCCAGGGCCTCGGACGCCCATGTCGAAGCTCCTCGAGCGTGGCGCGGCCCACGCAGGTGGCCAGGGATGGGCCGGGGAGGCAAGGTTGCAAGGGTACCCTTGGGAAGGTCGCCCATCCTCACCATGCGGGTTGACTGTGCGTGGCGCCAGAGAAGAGGAAGTCGGATCAGGGATCTGGGCCAGCTTCCTGGGAGCTTCCCGAGACAAGCCTGTAGAGGACACATGCACCGACTCTGGCCCGGCCCATCCTGACACCAGGATCGGTGCATGCGCCCTACTGCCTTATCCAGGAAGGCACATGCACCGACCCTGCGCCCAGGATGGGCCTGGCCAAGATCGGTGCATGTGCATGGTTCTCTTCGCCCGAGCCTGGGCCAAGTTCCGCCGTTCACTGCTGGAAGGGCGCACGTGCTCGAAAAGGAGCCAGCCGTCTGGCAAGTTGCTCAAGAAGCGCTGGCCCTAGCGTTTCGGGAGGAGGTTTCTTAATCATGTGCTCGACCGTAGCTTCTTCAGACGCTACTCTACTTTCTCCATCGGCACCAGGGGAGGCGGGGGGGGCGGGCACCCCCGACGACGGCCCAGATCGAGCCTCGTCGCGGGAAAGCCCAGCGCGCCAAAGGCACCGTTTCGTTGAGGTGCCACCAGGTTGACACCCGCCAGGTGGGGGGTACCCCCACAACGCTCACCACCGAATGCGCAGCAATCGAGCTCCTTGAGTCGACTGGCATGCAAGCTCTGGCGTGGTCCCCTCTCGTTCCAGCCCCGAGTTCCTGCTGTGCCCACCAATTGTTATTGTGCAGATCTTCCCGCGGCCGCCGTTGCCACCGCCGCCATCGCCGCCACTGGTACTGCCAATGCTGCTGAGCCGCGACGGCATCTCATTACCCTCCTGGGGCAAACGAGCCCTACGTTCGAGCGCAAGCGAGACGCTTACACATCGGTAGGGCGATGTTCAAGGCGACGAAACTCTCGTTATACGTAGCCGCAGAACTCACACTCGTGCCTTTCAAAAGGCTTGAGAGAAACGCACTCCGCTCGGCGTCTCCAGGCGAAGCACGCCTGTCACCTCTTCCGCTCACCCAGCACGCGCTCTTCCTAGGGAAAATCATCCCTGCACGGCGACACGGTGCCAAGACACATGATCTGGCCACGCCTCCCCACCAGCCCAAAACAAGGAGAAGACTCCGACGGAGGAAGGGACGAAGGGGCACGGCATCGAGGACGAGGCAGGAGGGAGAGAAGGAAGAGGAGGGAGGACCCGAGAGGAGAGGCAGAGCACCGAGGACGAGGTGGGAGGAGGAGGAGAAGGAAGAGGAGGGGGACCCGAGCGGTGAGAGAGAACCGGCCGAGCGACGGGCGCCTCCCCCCCCCGGCAGCGGGAGGCAGAACTGCGCAGCTCAGAAGGCTCTGCAAAACTCAGCGCTTCGAGGGGTGCAGCAACGCCCCTGCCCTGGGATGCGAGTGCTTGGTCTGTATGCCTCCTGGGGGCTCCGGGAGGCCAGAAAGCCGCCAGGACGCAGCGCGACGCGCGCGACACGCAGGATCTGCCCCGTCAGCCCACAGGAGGCTGCAAGCGCACAGCGCCTCGGAAACCAGGGTACGGGGCGTGTCTTGCGGTAAGTCGGGCCTGTGCCCTACAGGGGGATTTTCGACGAAGAAAATACCCCAAAGATAATCAAAAAAAATAGTCCAAAAAATAGTCTGGGGACTATTGTTTGAGTATTGCTTGACCTTTGTTGGGGTATGTTGGGAATATGTTTTATTCTTCGTGGAAAATCCCCCTGTAGGGGGGATACGCCCGACATCAGTCTTGCGCCCTCGAGTGCTCTCGAGCCACGAGGTCCCCGACGATCGCACGAGGCATGCTGCGAAGCCTGCACGGCCCGAGAGCTGCTCGGGCAGAGGGGGGGGCCCGAGCGAGGGTGCGGGCGCCTTGTGCTGCGTGAGACCGCCTGCTCTTGCTTCGCACGAGTGCTGGGCACCACACTGGGGGGAGGAGGAGGGGGAGGAGGAGGAGGAGGAGGAGGAGGAGGAGGGGGAGGAGGAGGAGGAGGAGGAGGAGAGGAGGAGGAGGAGGAGGAGGGAGGAGGAGAGGGGGAGGGAGGAGGAGGAGGAGGGAGGAGGAGGGAGGAGGAGGAGGAGGGGGATGAAGGGGAAAGCGAGAGAGCGGAACTGGGAAGCGAGCTCTGGCAAATAGCTGGGTCAGCAGGGGGATGAAAAAGACGAGGCCCTGAGATCTGACGTTGAAAAATCTGCCGACCCTGTCGCTCTTCCGTTCGTCGTCGCCGTTGTCGTCGTTGTCGTCGTCGGCGTCGTCGTCGTCGTCGTCGACGCCGCCGTCGCTGCCCCCCCCCTTTCCCTGGGTCCTCCTCCTCAAGCGCGGGAGCCAAAGCGAAATTAAGCAGCAACGTCGTAGTTGAGTCGAAAAGAAGCCCCTTCCCTTCCCCGCCGGGGGTGTCACTGGGGGGTCCCGGGGGGGGACCCGGGGGCAAGTCCCCCCCGGGGGGCCCCAAAGCCCCAAACCCCTGAAGACCAACCAAGACTGCCCCAAGAGGCCCTCAAGACGGTCCGAGAGGGCCCTGCATCGCCGAATTATCGGTCCAAGACGCCAAAGTAGCCTCCAGACGGCCAAGAGGTTTCCCAGACGCCCTAAGAGGCCCCCAAGAGCACTCCCAACAGGACCCCAAGAGACAAACGTATAATATGTTCCTGACGTATTTGATGGATCTGGGGATTCTCGCCTTTGCGGCTTCCCGACGCTCCAAGACGGTCTAAGAGGCCCCCAAGATCGCCCCAAGATAGCCCAAGAGGCCTCCAAGAGGACCCCTAAACAACCCAAGAGGGCCCCAAGACGGCTCCAAGAGGGTGCCCAGACGGGAGACCCGAACGGACATGTCGGCCTGAGAGGCTCCCAGGAAGCGGCAAGAAGCCCCCAAGATGCCCCCCAAGAGAACCCCAAGAGACACCCAGGAAACCCCAATTGGGAGGCTCCCATGAGGCTCCCAAGAGACCCCAAAACTACCCCCCAGAGGCCCTCGAGAGCTCAGAAGAGACCCCAAGAAGCATCCCTGAGGACTCTGACCCACCTCAGCATCGTCGTCGTCGTTCAGGGTCGGCGGCACCGGCCGTAAGGCCTCTCCAATACCATATCGCGAAGAGTCACGACAGGAGCCCTGGACCCCATCCTGCGGTATATTCTCGAGCCCGATCGATCAGCCATGTCCCCAGGGCCCGAAGCAAGGCAGAATCGCCCAATGCGAAGGATGTCAGGAGTCAACGACGACGACAACCACCACGACGACGACGACCACCACCACGACGACGACAACGATCACGATAACAACGACGACGACGACGATGACGACGAACACCACGACGACGACGACGACGACGACCACGACCACAACGACGACGACGACGACGACGACGACGACGACGACGACGACGACGACGACGACGACGACGACGGCGGCGACGACGACGACGCCGACGACGACGACGACGACGACGACGACGACGTCCAGGACGACGACGACGCAGGATGAGGACGGCGAGGGGCGGTGCAGGCGCGAGCCTCTGCCCTGTCCCCCGGTGCCTCCTCGGCGGAGCGCACGAGGGGGCAGGGGGACCCGGAAAGGCTTCTTAGGAGGCTGCTTCTCAGAAGGCGCTGGCCCTGCATCCATAGACAAGGCCCGCGCCTACTGAGCAGGGGTGCCTCTAGAGAGCTACCCCTCTCCCCCGTACTCCCCTCGGGAAACCCAAAGGTACCAATACCGCTATTCCCTGGACCTCTCCAGGGCTGCGTTCTGACGACAAGGACTTCGAGGCGAAGCCAGCGGTGGCGACGGGGTTCTCCCCGAAGGCCGAAGACATAGATGACGGGTGAATGTTTGCGGTATCGGTATCTTTTCCTCCTCTGAGCTCCTTCTTGGCAGCGCGCAGAGGGTGGTAGGGGGAGGGGGGGAGGCTTCTTAGAAGCAGACTGCTTCTTAGAAGGCGCGGGCCTTCCATCTACAGACAAGACCCGTGCCTTCTAAGAAGCAGAGGTGCTTCTAAGAAGCCTTCCCCCCTCCCCCCACCCCCCCCTGCGCGCCGCCGACCTTCTCCATTTACCCCCCTCTGCGCGTGGCTGACCCCCGCCGCCCTCCTTGGCGCCGTCGCCACCGTCGTCCGAGGAGCCTCCATCGTCCAGACGGGGGCGGCGCAGGATGAGGACGGCGAGGCGCAGGATGAGGACGGCGAGGACGCCGCCGCCGCCACCGCCGCCGCCGCCGCCGACGACGACGACGACGACGACAACGGCGCAGAATGAGGACGACGAGGGGCGGTGCAGGCGGGAGCCTCTGCCCTGTTGGGCGCCCGAGTTATCCGGGGTAACTCGGGCCGGGGCAACTCGGGCTCGGATGCCCGAAAAACGAACCCGAGTTAGCTCTGACCCGAATTACTCCTGATGATTTGGGGGTCTGGACGCCCGAATTATCCGGGGTAACTCGGGTACGGGGCAACTCGGGTTCGGATACCCGAGAAACGAACCCGAGTTGGTCCTGACCCGAGTTACCCCTGATGATTCGGGGCTCTGACCTCCTGTGCCCCCCCCGGGTGCCCCCGCGGGTGCCCCCGCCCTCCTTGGCGCCGTCGCCGCCGTCGTCCGAGGAGCCCCCGTCGTCCAGCCGGGAGGCGTCGAGCACCGACCTCGCCGCGCACGGCGGGGCCACGCCGTATGATATGGAAGGCTCGCGCCGAGTCGACTGGCGGCGGTCCCGCCGCCGGCGTTCGGGCGGCGTGCGGGCCACACCTAAAGGAAGAACAAAAACACATAAACCTAAACTGTCGTCGGTCTGCGCGGATTTCTTGGATTTGCGCTGGGCTCCCCTCCCTGGCGCGCGGAGCGCTCCAGGGGCGGCGCCGGGGGCGGCGCTGGGGGGCCCCAGCTCGGATTCGAGAAATCCGCGCCGAGCGCCGAAAGCTTATGTTTATGTGTTTTGTTCTTCTTCGATCACAGCTCGGGAAACGATATCGATATACTGCAGGATCGCTGTTCTCTGTATAATCTGGTCGGACGCACGCCCCCAATGTGGACACATCGTACGCATGTCCTTCTGCGTTCCAAGTTCGCGTCGTGTCGACCCGCGGCGACCCCGCCGACAGAGTCCAACGTTGAACGCCGCCGGCGGCCAGGTTCTTCCTAGGCGCTTTAGAATCTCTTCGGGCCTAGATATGCCGGGGGGGCCGAGAACGATGTCGAAGATCGAAGTCTCGAGGACCTCCTCCCTCCTCCTCTCTCCTCGCTCCTCGCTCCTCCCTCTTCCTCCTCCTCCCCCTCCTCCACCCAACGTTACATCGATTGGTGTTGAGTGATCGGACGTTTCGGAGCCTATCGTTCAAGGCTGAACGATCCCCGCGGTGTCAGAAACCAAGGCAGAAGTCGGCACGACGTGAGCCCGCGGCAGGCGCCCACTAGGCAAGACGAAGGGGAGAAGGGAAGGAGAGGGGAAGGGGAAGGTGAGGCCTGCGCGAGATCGAGTCGCGAAACCAGGCCCGATCGGAAACGGATCGGATCGCCGGCGAAGCCTCCCGGAATCGCATCGAGAGCGCGGGCCGCCGCGCCTGGCCCGGGCTGGCCCCGGCCAACGTCGGCGGACCGAGGCGAACCGAATCGAGGCGGGATCGCGGCTCCGGCAAGCGAATCGAATGGCAACTCGGCAGGTCGTGGCCAGCCCTGAGGGGTGGGACAGGACGGGGAAGGAGGGGGGGAAGTCAAGGGGGAGAAGAACAGCGGGATAGTCAAGGGGGAAAAGCGATAGGGGGGAGAGCGGTAGGGGGGAAAAGAACAGCGGGATAGTCAAGAAAGGGTGGACAGGGGGGAGAGCGATGGGGGCGGGGAAGTCAGGGGGGAAACGAACAGCGGGATGGAGCGCGACTGCGCGTGTGCCTCGGCCGTGTCTGGTGCTCTCCGGCGGCGCTCGTACCACGCAGCTGAGTCGAGTGTGCATGACTGGCGAGCGCATGGTCGAAGCTGGCAGGCAGAACACGGCAGATCCATCAGTGTAGGCGGCGCGTCCGAGAACTCTTCGAGTGCTTGCTTTTGGCACGCCCGTCGCCCCCTGGAGTCGTGCAATCACAAGCCCCAGGCTCTGGGCAATGCGACTGAATATGCACACTCCTGAAACGCTGGGCGCACGGCTCGAAACCGAAGGGTGTGGATTGACGCTGATGGGTCGCGCTTTCATGCTTACACACCCCAAGCCCAAACCACTAAAGCGCCAGCTCCCGAAGGCCTCATCGTAACCCATAGGCTTAAGCCCTAAGCCATGGGCACGTTGGCCCAAGCCCTGAGCCATTGAAGCCAATCTTCGATACCCTGTGCCCTGAGTCATATGTACATCCCACGCCTTCAGCGCGAAGCCCTGACATCAAGACCTGAGATCTGAGCAACGAAGCCGCAATCCACAAGCATTAAACTGCAAATCCAGCCCTGAAACCTGAATCTAAATCTCTCGAGTCCTGGCCCCTGCTTTGGGAGCATTGCCCTGAACCTTTTGGCCCCCAGCCCGCGTTCCCTGAATCCCCATGCCAAAATGACTCCCCCCGGACCCCATGACCAGACAAATAAGAGAAACTCGAGCACCATGCCCCAAGCCCAAATCAAACAAACAACACACTGATAACAAAATCTTGCCTGTTGAGCAACAACCCTCGGAGCCCAAAGGCCCAAGTGTTCAGTCTTGAGCGACCATCACCAAGATGGAGCAAATTCGACACTTTCGAGCAATTCGGCCGCTTTCCTTGATTCCGAAAACTGTTCAGCCGATATGAAGACATCAATGTTGGCCAGCGTGGACCCCAAACAATGAACTGTTGCACAGTGGATGTGTGAGCTATGTGATACAAGCTAAGTGCAAATTATGTGGTGCAAGCTAGGTGGTGCAAGCTATGTGGTGTCAGACATGTGGTGCAACCACGAGGAGCCCCAAGAGGCGGTGGGCAGCAACGAGGCGACAACAGGCGGCGGGGCAGCGACACCTCGACGGAGCCCCGAAAGGGGCGGCAACGCGCCGGCAACGGGCGGCGACGCGGCGAAACGACGACGGACCCGTCCAACTCCTGAGCGAGATCAGCAAGCACCCCTAAGTTAGCAAGCACTGTTTGGGGACAAAAGAGCCCCAGCCATCAGGCATCCTGATGTTCTGGATGCGTGGACGCCCGGAGGCCTGGACCACTTCCCTACAGGGCCGGCTTCTCGCCCCGCGCCTTCGTTCTAAAAAGTCCCGGCCCGTCGAGGGCCCCCTATGAGGCCAGAAACGGCCCCAAACCAGCCGATCCCATTCTTGCTCGGAGCACCACGAGAGCCGAGGCTCCGAAAAAGCTCAAGGGTCGGAGGGAGGAGAAAGGTGGGAAGGAGGTACGGTCAAGTCGGGCGTGTCCCCCTACAGGGGGAGTCTGGACGAGCAATGAAACATACCCCAAACATGCACCCCAAATGGGCAAAAATAGTTATAAAAACAAAAAAAAAAAAACGTCCCCACACAATTTTTCGACTATTTTCGAATTTTCCTTCTGTAGAGGGACAGGCCCGACTTAATTCAAGGGTCGGAGGGAGGAGAAAAGTGGGAAGGAGGTACAGCTCGCGCCTGCGCACACGGAGCAGATCCCCCCGGCGCTCGGGTGGCTGCAAAAGGGGAGAGGGGGGGGGGGCAGATCAGCAGTCGAGCGGGTCGGGATGCAGGAGAGCGGCACTGTCACTCCGCGCCGGTTCGTTCGGTGCCTCCTCCTCCTCCTCCTCCTCCTCCTCCCTCCTCCTCCCGGCCGCCGAGCCGTTCAGATATCGGCCGCCGGCACTTTGAACACGCCTCGGAGCGCCGATCGGTGCGCCGGGGCCTCTGCCAAGCCTCGCGGCCTTCGGGGGCGTCCAAGATGGGGGCGTCCAAGAGGGGGACTCGCAGAGCATGGCCCGAAGCACGTGCGCGGACGGGGGGGAAAGGGGACGCACTGAAAGAAGAAGAAGAAGAAGAAGAAGAAGTAGAAGAAGAAGAAGAAGAAGAGGGGCCATGAGATCTGGGGAGATATCCCGGTCCACTCCGGGATATCCACACACAAACACACACTCTCTGTTGGCGGTAGCGGCCTCGCGCGCGGCGACAAGGCGGAGTCGGTAAGAGTACGAAGCGTGGGGTCGAGGCCAGGCCCTCAGGAACCGCCTTGGATCCCGCAGCACCTACCACCATACAACACATCCGGGCGTAGATGGCAGTGAGCTGCTACGCCGGCCGAGGGCCACGCACACACACACACACACACACACACACACGCACTCGTTTCGGCGTCGCGGCCCTGCGCGCATCAACAGGGCGTAGAAGGTCGGAAACCAGCAAATCGCGCGCGTGCGACTGAGCCCGCCCGAGCACTCGAAGACCACTTAGGGTCTCGCAGCCGCCAGCAGCCATAACCATCCGGGCGAGGGTGGCGCGGGGGACGGTGAGAGGACGAGACGACGGTGCGGTGGAGGGCGCCATAAGCCATCAGGGGTTGAATGGCGGGGGAAGCGAATACACTGGAGGCCAGTCCACAAGAAACCTTCCACAAGAAACCCGACCCTGAGGCCCAGGACGTCCATCATTTTTGGTGTGAGAACGTCACGCTTTCCACAGCAAAACCATCGAAACCCGAGAAACCCAGGGAACCCTGGAGGCAGGCAGGGCGTTTCTTGGCATGGGTCTCCACTGTAAGCAGCGTGGAGCGACAAAAGGAAACCAAGACCGACCTGGAAGCCCAAAAGGCGCGGGGGGCACGTGCCCACGGTGCGCGGGTGCGGAGGAGCGAAGGAGGCCGCGGCACACGCAGCCGCGCACACACTCCTCCTCCTCCTCCTCCTCCTCCTCCTCCTCCTCCTCTCCTCCTCCTCCTCCTCCTCCCTCCTCCTCCTCCTCCTCCCCTCCTCCTCGTCCTCCTCCTCCTCCTCCTCCTCCTCCTCCTCCTCCTCCCTCCTCCTCCTCCTCCTCCTCCGTCTCCTCCTCCTCCTCCTCCTCCTCCTCCTCCTCTCCTCTCCTCCTCCTGCTCCTGCTCCTGCTCCTCCTCCTCCTCCTCCTCCTCCTCCTCCTCCTCCTCCTCCTCCTCCTCCGCCTCCTCCTCCTCTCACCCTCCTCCCCCTCCTCCTCCTCCTCCTTATCCTCCTCCTCCTCCTCCTCCTCCTCCTCCTCCTCCTCCTCCTCCTCCTCATCCTCATCCTCATCTCATCCTCTCCTCCTCCTCCTCCTCCTCCTCCTCCTCCTCCTCCTCCTCCTCCTCCTCCTCCTCCTCCTCCTCCTCCTCCTCCTCCTCCTCCTCCGCACCTGTTTGGGCATCGCGGCCCCGCGCGCAGCGACAAGGCATCCAAAGATAGAGAAGAGGACGCGCGCGCGTCAAAAAGGCCAAACCCTTAAGCCGCTCAGAACGAGCAGCGCCGCGGCCAGCCGCAGGTCATCCGGGCATGGATGACCAGCGGGGCAGACGAGGTAAGCAGTTAGCCGACTGGCATGGAAACAACATGCCAGGAGGCCGCGACACACACACACACACACACCTTGGCACCGCCCCGCTCTTGGACGCCCACGAGGCCCAGCGCCCACGGCCGAGAGCCCGCGGCTGCAGCACCCCTGGGGCCGCGCACCTGCTAGCACATGGGCCGGAGGGTCTGGGCGCGAGGGCGTCCGCGCTAAGGAGGGTGCGAGATCGGGGGGACGACAGGGTCGGATAGCAAAGCGCAGGTTAGAGAACCAGCTCGCGCAGCTGGTTTTCCTGGGGACTCCTGGCGCCGAGAGGCGCCCACGCATGGAGGAATGGGCTCGGCGGCGGGGCGGAAACAAGCTGCATGCAGCAGATTTCGTGCCCCCCCCTTTCATATCCCACCCTCTCGTACAGCCCGGCAAAAACTGCATACCCAGAGATCCGAAGCCCAGACATCTGGCGCTCAATCTTGCTTGGTGCGTGGACCCCCAGAGGCCTGGGCAACTTCGCCAGGGCCGGCTTTTCGTCCTGTGTCGTTTTTTGCCGGGGCCCGCAGAGGGCCACAGGAGGCCCAAAACAGCAAAATATCTGTTTTGTTCGGAGCCTCGGATCTCTGGGGGCTCCGAGCGAAATGGGAGCGGCCCGTTTTAGGCCGTTATCGGCCTCTGGGGGCCCTCAAAGGTGTCCATCAAAAAACGACTCAGGACGAAAAAACAGCACTTGGGAAGTGGTCCAGGCCTCCGGGGGTCCACGCATCCAGAAATTGGAATGCTAGATGTCTGGGGTGCTTTTTTCCCCAAACAACGCTTGCACTTAAGGTTGCTTGCTTCTCCTACTCAGGATTTGGACGGGTCCGTCGGAAGACCATGCACAAACGACTCAGGACGAGAAACCGGCCCTGGGAAAGTGGTCCAGCCCTCCAGGGGCCCACGCATCGACAAACTGGAGCGCCAGGTGTCTGGGGAAGGCCCGCGCGGAGTTCTTGGATCGGCGCTCGGGGTGCAGGAGAGCGGCCCCGCCGCGGCGCGCCCCACAGGTGCTGAAGAGGTGCACTTGAGGGGGAGCGAGAGTGGGGGGCCAGCTCAGGGGGGAGGGGAGCATCAGCCTGGGCTCGATGAACAGTCGCCGATCGATCGGCGATAGTTGGCGACGGGCCCCCGACGGTGAAACCGCGCGGTCCCGAGCGGGGTGGGCTGTGAGCCCCTGTCAGCGATGGGTGGGCGATTGAAGGCCGATGCGACCCCCCATGGCCTATCCTCAAGTCGGGCCTGTCCCTCTACAGGGGGAGTTCCAAAATAATGAAAAAATACTCTCGGGACTATTTTTAAAAATATTTTCGGGCATCGTTTGGGTATTTTTTGAGTATTTCGCATTCTTCGTCCAAGATCCCCCTGTAGGGGGACAGGCCCGACCTGAGCCTATCCCCCAATAACGTTGCCCCTGCTGCACCCTCTCCTCCGGCTCCGAAGCTGTCTCGTGCCCAGGGGCCTCGACCCCTCCCCTGCAGGACCAGCCTCTCTCATCCTGAGCCGTTTCGTGGAAGGCCTGGCCGTCACTATGCCTTGGCGTCGCATTAAGTCGGGCCTGTCCCCCTACAGAGAGATTTTCAACGAAAACTAAAAATTACCCCAAACATACCCCCCAAAAAAGTCAAAAAATAGTCCCCAAACTATTTTTGGACCATTTGTTGGACTATTTGGGGGGTATTTTCTATTTTTCGTCGGAAATCGCCCTGTAGGGGGACAGGCCCGACTTAAGCGTCGCATGAGGGCACCTTTCACCCCCTCCGCGTGTCCCTCCCCCCTGGCATCCGCCAAGCTGGTGCTTCCAATCGCCGGCCGCCCCAGGGGTCCCGACCGCTTCCAGGGGGGGGGGTGTTTCGTCACGGATGCACGCTGTATTGCCCAAAGGGGTCCCACGACGGGCCCCAGAGGGCCGAAGGCGAGGACAAACCTTGACAGGTCAGCAGGGAGGGCGGACGCAAGCGCGTTCGGGAAGCAGGCGGGCATCGCCGGAACTGGGACAGACAAGGCCACCGGGGAAAGGCACAGGGCGGCCGCGGAGGAGGAACTCGCCATCGCTCGGACGTCCATTCCCCGTGCAGTGTTCGGTTTCGTAGGCATGGCCTTGGCCCCACTGGCCGATTTACCCCCGAGATAGGGGTACAGGCTGCTTCCTGCGAGTTTCGAGGGGCATATCCCCAACTGGGGTGGTGGGATGGTGGGGGTCGGGATGGGGATGAGGATAGGGATGGGGATCGGTTCAACGATACTGATCCTGGATGGTTCTCGCCGAGACAAAATGCACACGCCCGAGCGGTGCCAAGGGAACGCGGAAGGGGGCCTCAGGCGAGGAGTGCGCAGGCGGCCTCAGGCGCCAGAATCTGGTGTACTGGAAGGTGCGTGGCCAGTCCGCAAAGTCTGATAAAGCACGCAGGTTCAAACAATTGTGATGATGATGATGATGGTGATGGTGATGATGATGATGATGATGATGATGATGATGATGATGATGATGATGATGACGAGGAGGAGGAGGAGGAGGAGGAGGAGGAGGAGGAGGGGGTTCCAGCGCCGATCCAAGAACTCTGCGCGGACGTCCGAGGTGTCATGTTGATGCCATCGCTCGGTTCTCTAAGCGCACACACTTCGGTGCCTGCGGTCTGGCGCGCACACGCCGTCGGAGGTCTGGGCACCTCCCCTCCGAATCCCAGCTGCCCCGATACGCAGCACGCAACACGCGGCGTGTTGACAAGGACCTCGACACGCGGACTGAAAACGCAGGTCTGGCGCGATTCGTCTGCCGGAACGTGGACCAACAGCGCACCGAAGCGGCACACGGCGTGTCAACACAGCCGTTTTTGGGACACGGGACGGTTTGCGTCTCCACACGGGCGTATCAAGGCAGCTATAAGCCCCGAAGCTGGAGATCCGACGCCGTGCACGTTGTTCAAGGCGGGGCCCCCGGAAGTCCCGACCCTGGCTCGTGTCGGGCGAACCGGGGGGGATAGCAAAGGAGGGAGGGTGAGAATCAGCTCACGTAGCCGGTTTTCCCGGCGCCTCCCGGCGCCGGAAGCGGCTATGCATCGAGGAATGGACTCCTCGGTGAGGCCGAAACCAGCTGCATGCAGCAAATTTCGCAACCCCCTCTTTCCCAATCCCCCCCTTTCGCCCGGCCCGACTGTCGGACGTCCCGACCCTGCCCACGGGCCCCGGGGCCCCCAGAAAGGCTCGGAGAGACCGACCCTCCCCCCCCCAAAAAACTCCCGAAAGCATGTCTGGGAACTCCTCCCGGGCGAGCCGCCCGCATTGCTTCCAGGGCCAGATCCCCGCTCGCTCGGCCAGCGCGCTGGATCCGCCAGTAGCAATCCTCACGACCCCCATGCGCAAACAGATAAAACCTCCGGCCTGCTCCTACCGACCATTGGGCTGCTGAGGTCTGCTCTGGCCCCACGTGCAGCTGAACCCCGAATACCTCCCTGCCGAGCTGCCCGCGGATCGGGGACTGACTGACACGGGTCAATCCAAACGCGGGTCACTCAAGCCTTGCAGAATCCTGCAAAGTCCAGCAACATCCTGCAAGATCCTGCGCGCAAGCCCGGGCCAGTGCACACCGTGCACCCCGTGCACCCCTGGCTCCGCAGGGTCCTGCAACATCCGGCGCTCTGGCTGACACCCGCTTGCACTGAACCCCGCACCAAGGCTCACGAGCGATCGGGCGGTGGTAAGGGGGGTGGCCCAGATGGGGAATGAAGACGCGGGCCCTCGAGGGCTTTCTTTTGCAACCCCCCTTCCCAAACCCCCGACCTCATGATCTGCTTATCCCGCCAACCCCCAGAGGTCTCGACCCGCTCACCCGGGCCGGTGCCCCATCCTGGCCGATGTTCCGACCCGAGGCCCGGCGAGGGCCCCCGGAGGCCGAAAATGGCAACAACAGAACAGCAGCTCCAGCCGTGCTCTCGCTCCCGACGCGGGGGCTCTGGGCTCCCGTCCCCCCCCAGTTGCCAGCCGCCCGAGCCGAGCGGGGCGACGGCCTCCGGTAGGTCTGCTTGGCCTTCGAGGACTTCCAGGCGAGCTGCTGGGCGGCCCCCGAGGCCGGCGCGCCCTGCGGCGCGGTGATGGTCACCCTGCGGAGCGAGGGTGGTGGGCCTGTTTTCCACCACCACCACCAGAAGTTGGAGGGGCAGGGGGAGGGGGAGGGGCCTCCTCCTCCTCCTCCTCCTCCTCCTCCGCCTCCTCCTCCGCCTCCTCCTCCTCCTCCTCCTCCTCCTCCTCCTCTCCTCCTCCGCCTCCTCTCCTCCTCCTCCTCCTCCTCCTCCTCCTCCTCCCTCCTCCTCCTCCTCCTCCTCCTCCTCCTCCTCCTCCTCCTCTCCTCCTCCCTCCTCCTCCTCCTCCTCCTCCTCCTCCTCCTCCTCCTCCTCCTCCTCCTCCTCCTCCTCCTCCTCCCCCTCCCCCTCCCCCTCCTCCTCCCCCTCCAACTTATGGTGGTGGTGGTGGAAAAGAGGCCCATCAGAGGGGGGGGGGGAGGGCGGGTCGCTAGCGGCTTCGCCTCCCTGGAGGCCCAGAGAGCCAACGCGTGAAAGAAGGTGCGAGGCCGCTCTCGGCCTCCGGAGGCCCTCGCTGGGCCCCGGGGGCCGTCACAAAACGACGCGGTCGGATCGGCCTCCCCTGAGGGGCAACGACTGCGGATCGGCGCCAATCGACCCCGATCGATGCTGAATAGCGTCGACGCGGGTCGACGCTCAGCAACGCCAAACCGACGCTATCCCACCGAGTGCCACACGCTGGCTGGCGCTTGTGCACTCTGAAAGCGATATTCCGATGATGCGCAGGGCTACCATGATTTGCTACCGAACGAGCCTGCCACATGTGAGGGGCAACGATAAGGGCGATCTGGCATAGGTGGGGGGAACATCGGCCTGAAATCGGCGATCGATCGGCGATAGATCGGCGATAGGCCCCCGATAGCGAATCCGCAAGTTCCTGAGCGGGTTGTGCTATCAGACCCCCCTCGGCCATCAGTGGGCGACTGGGGGTCGATGCCTTTGCCACCTCCCCCCCCATCGTCGCCCCTGACCCCCAGAGATTCGGCCTCCGCCTTGGAGAGAGGCCGAAATCAAGAGAGAGCCGCCCAAAGTGAAACAAAACATGCCCGGAGCGAATCATGCAACCGCGAGGAGTGAAGGGATGCAGGGTCGCACCACGCACATGAAATCGCCGTTCTGGCGCAAACCGTTCCGAGGGTAGGATTGCCGGACATCAGGGATAAAAGAGGAGCAATCGAACCGACACCACCAGCACGAGACACGAGGGGCTGCACTATAGAAGTGCCCAAAGAGGATGCACGGATTGGCGTAACTGGTCTTGTGATATACCCTCCATATCGATCCTCTCGCGAAGGACTTGGCGGTGACCTTGGATGCCCAGCGGGCCCCAAGTACATGCCATCAACGCTCGGAGGGGGCGGTACTGGTGGTGGTGGTGGCGGCAATGTTCATGGCTCCCTCCACAAGGTCGAGTCAAACCAGATGCTTGCGCTCCCCATTCGTCATCCACTTCGGCACTGCCATCCAAGACTCGCATGGCAAGAAGAGCTCTCCGCCGACCACAACCACCTGCAGATCGTGATGAATCCGTGACGCTCCCCCCGATCGAGCCCGCCTCTGCCATGAGGCCCTCGCACTACGTGGTCGTGGACTGCTCATTACTGTATTGTGTCCAGCTCGGGAAATCTCTGGCTGTTTGGTCTGCAATGGAACCATCCTCTCTGCTGTGCGTGCCAGCCCGTCCCTCGCTCCACTCAATGGGAGCGCGTTCGGCTTCGTCACCGATGTACCGCAGGACCTTCAGTACTGCAAGTGCTCCTGAGCGGGCAGTCAAGTTCCCGACCGAACTTCCACACACTCTTCAGCCTGTCGTCTGCCATCTTCTCGGTGGCCCGCAACACCGAAGAGTGTGCGCGGCACCTGCAGAGACATTGTGTGTTCCATCGCGAACTCCGTCTTGCTCACCATGTGGCTGACACCCAGCTGGCGTAGCTCCCCATCTTGAAGACGCTGGTGCTCTTTCTGACGACGGAAATCAGCGTGCTGTGTCTGCTGACGTCTACGGGTTCGCTTGAATCACGAGTCACAGCGAATCCAATCACCTGATCTGTTCTTCTGACCGCAAGCCGAACAACTCCATGGTTGCTGGTGCTCGCTCTGCCTAGATGCCCTACTGCCCGATGGATGGTGCTCCACCAAGCTGGAGCTGCTTCGCCGCGTTCAGCCTCACGAACAGGCGTGCCGCACTTCTCTTGGCGCGCGCCCTCCTGTGCCAGGCGGGTTCGGCCCTCCTGGCCGTCCGCCCTGGGCAGCTGCCGCCGCCGCGGTCCGCCGCCTCCAGGGGCCGCCGACGCTGCGGAGGGGATGCAGGGGTCCTCCCCCCCGCGCGGCCCCTGTGGCGGCAGGCGCGCTGCCGTCGCGCGCGCGTGGGCCAGCCGTGCGCGCAGCCTTCCCACACCGAGCGGGCAGACCCCTCCTCCTCCTCCTCCTCCTCCTCCTCCTCCTCCTCCTCTTCCTCCTCCTCTTCCTCCTCCTCCTCGTCCTCCTCCTCCTGCTTCTCCTCCGCCTCCTCCTCCACCTCCTCCTCCTGCCCAGGCCTCGACATGTCGGGCATCCGGCCCGGGGTGGGCAGGCGCGAGGCGGAGCCCAGCCAGGCGCTGCCCCTGGCGGAGAGCCACACGGCAGCCTGCCCCCGCGCCCGCGACGACGACGACGACGACGACGACGACGACGACGACGACGACGACGACGACCACGACGACCACGACCACGACGACCACGACCACGACCACGACCATGACCACGACCACGACCACGACCACGACCAAGCCCACGACCACGACGACCACGACGACCACGACGACCACGGCGACGGCGACGGGGACGGCGACGGCGACGGCGACGGCGGCGGCGACGGCGACGGCGACGGCGACGGTGGCGACGGCGACGGCGACGGTGACGACGACGGTGAAGATGACAACGGCGACGGCGACGGCGACGGCGACGGCGACGGCGCTGGCGCCGCCGTCGACGACGACGACGACGACGACGACGACGACGACGACGACGACGACGACGACGACGACAGCGGTCGATGGTGACGACGACCACGAGGTCGCGGCAGCAGTGAGCCGCGCCTCCTGGGAACGAAGGCCCAGGCCAGGACGCATCAGCACAAAAGAAAACCAGATCTCCCTGAGATCCTAGCGTCGCATTTGTTCACACTGCACGTTTTCGCCCGCTTCCGGGGCCCCAGGAACCTCTCAGATCGATCGGGCTCGAGTAGTGCCGCAGGCCGAATGTGTTCTAGGCCCGGTCCTGATATTTTTTGCCACGGTGCAATTGTTCCAAGACGACGGATCTCATGGCCGCCGACGACATGAGTTCTTCCGCCTGCGGGTTTCCCTCAACGTCGACCCTCTGGAAGCCGTTCTCGGGCAAACATCAGGCCTGGGGCGAACACCCACCCACAGGGAGGCATTCAGTACCTCTGGGGCCGCGGATTGGCACATCTCATCGGCAGATGTCAGGGACGGGGTCCTGGAGGGGAGGGTCGCCTGCGAGGCCAGGGGGGGGGAAGTCAGAGAGGGACCATGGCCCTCGCAGCTGGCGGCGGGGCTTCACGGGAACCCTCGCGCCTTCTGAGAAGTGTTACGCGTCAGGATCAGGTCGGGGGAGGATAGATCGAGAATCTCTGAGACCCAGCGGCTCTGGAGGATGTCTCGGGCGCCGCGGCCTTCTCAGAGCGTTCTGGAACGCTCTGAGAGCGCGTCGGAACGCTCGGGAACGGACTTGTCCTCGCCCTAGCCCCGTCCTTCCTCCACCTCCTCCTCCTCCTCCTCCTCCCCCTCCCCCTCCCCCTCCTCCTCCTCCTCCTCCTCCTCCTCCTCCTCCTCCTCCTCCTCCTCCTCCTCCTCCTCCTCCTCCTCCTTCCCTCCTCCTCATCCGCCTCCTCCTCCTCCTCCTCCTGCCAGCCCCGTCCGGGGGAGGGCTGAAAAAACTTCTCAGCAGGCTGGGGGCCTGCCGGGCTTCCCGAAGGGGACCCGCCCCGCCGAAAAACGCTCCCCCCCAGGCGCGCCGCCGAAGAGGGGGGCTCCCGGAGAGGCGCCGCCGTGTGCGGGCCCCCTACGGTCGGGACGTTGACGGAAGGAATCCGAAATGAGGAACGAGGCCCCTTGATCCCACCAGTTAAAGCTCGATTTCCCATCAAAAACCTGAGGAGAACCTAAGGCAAGCTGTGAAACAATCAAGGAACACGGAGCCCCTCCCCAACGAGAAGGGTTCCTTCTTCAGCGCCCCGACTGTAAGAGGAGAGAGAGAGATCTGTGCACGCGCACCGACTCTCGCGAGGCTCCCCCTGGGCCCCGGATCGGTGCCCACGCCCTCCTGCCCTGAGGAGGAGGAGGAGGAGGAGGAGGAGGAGGAGGGGAGGAGGAGGAGGAAGGAGGTGGAAGGAGGTGGACGAGGAGGTGGAAGAGGAGGAGGAAGGAGGAGGAGGAGGAGGAGGAGGAGTAGGAGGAGGAGGAGGGAGGGGCACATGCACCGATCCTGGGCCCCAGGATGGGCCCGGCCAGGCAGCGAGGCACGTGCACAGCCCTCTTCGCCCGAGGCCTCCAGGGCTCCTCCTCCTCCTCCTCCTCCTCCTCCTCCTCCTCCTCCTCCTCCTCCTCCGCCCGGGGCGAAGAGCTGCGTCTGTGTTTCTGCGTCAGGAGCGGAGGAGTACTACGCCACGAAAGTGTCCACACAGACGCCCTCCGACGAATTTTGCATGTAGCTTCTGGGAGGACGGCGGTGTATCAAATCGCTGGCGCCTACCCTCCGACGAATTTTGCATGTAGCTTCTGGGAGGACGGCGGTGTATAAAATCGCTGGCTCCCAGTGGTGGCTTCTACACCGCCATCCTCCTCTGAGGCCCAGGAATTATCCATTGGAGGGTGTCTATGTCTATATTTTGGTGGCGGAAGTACGAACCTCCCACCAACTACTTCCACAGGTGGCGCGAAGGCGAGGGTGCGTGGGTTGGCGGCGAGCCCGGGGGAAGGGAGAAGGGGCGGGCCTTCTCAGAAGGCTCGGCAGGCATACGACCTTCCGAGAAGGTTGCCCTAGGCCTTCCCCGAAGACACGAAGAAGTTCTCTGCAGGCGCGAGGGCTTCTGAGAAGTCCCGCCGCCTTCGGAAAAGGCCTTCCCCTTCTCGCTTCCCCCCCTCGCGCACCGCCGAGTGGGACAGGCGGGATGCACAGTGACGGCTCCGGGACAGGCGCGGAGTGTCGGCCACGCCCGCAGGACCGAGCGCGCGGGCGATGGGGGTCCGCCGGTGCTCCGCCGCGTGAAGATGCGGAGCGCTGCCTCTTGGGGAGCGCCCCGGGGTCCGGGGCGGGGGGGCGCTCCTCCTCCTCCTCCTCCTCCTCCTCCTCCTCCTCCTCCTCCTCCTCCTCCTCCTCCTCCTCCTCCTCCTCCTCCTCCTCCTCCTCCCCTCGGAGCCCGCGTCCTTCCTGGGGGCGAGGCCGGAGGCCGCTGGCCATCGCTGGGACGTCCATTTCCTGTGTTTTTTTGTCGGTTTCGTGCGTGGTTTTTTTTCGCCAAATGATCAAGGATGCTCCTCGATGGTCCTCGCCGAAGGAAACATGCACACGTCCGAGCGATGCCAAGCAGCATGGGGTGGGCGGAGGATCGCGCCGCGTCGCTGGAGCAGCGCCGATGCAGCACCCCCTTTGCGCCCCCCCGTGGCGCGAAGGAGTCTGAGTGCGAGTGAGTCTCAGTGTGGAGTCCGCGTGGGGTGTCGGAGGACGAGTGAGCTGAATGCAAGTGGAGGTGAGTGGGCATGAATCTGCTCATGTGTCCGCGTGGAGTGTCCGAGTGTGAATGGGCCACACGGAAGCGAGTCTGAGCATGCCTGAGTCCGACTATGAATAAGTGCGAGTGCAAGTGGGCCTGTGAGCGCATCTGGGGTCCAGGGGGAGAAGGAGGCGCGAAGAAGGAAGGATTGAGGCGGAGGCGTCCCAGGAATAACTAGAACCATCGCGCGCGCTTCGCGCGCGCTCAAGTTCTAGCTAGCTTCTTGGGGCCTCATCGGAGCATCCTGGACTGCTTCTTGAAGTCGTCATGGGACCTTCTTGGCATGTCTTCGGGGGCCTCTTAGAAAGAATTTTGAAGCCTTTTGGGTGCCGTCTTTGGGCCTCTTGGAGCCTCTTTGGGGCTTCTTGGGGGCATCTTGGGGCCTCTTGGGGGCCTCTTGGGGCCTCTTGGGGGCCTCTTGGGGCCTCTTTGGGGCTTCCTGGGGGCATCTTAGGGCCTCTTGTGGGCATCTTGGGGCGGAGAGCTTGAGCTTTCAGTTCGCGTTCCCTCTCTTGGGCCTCTCTTGGGGCTTTCTTGGGACCCTCTTGCGCCGTCTTGGGCGGCTCTGGGGCCGTCTCGGGGCTCGCTCGGGCCGTCTTGGGGCTCTCTTGGGCCGCCTTGGAGCGGTTTGGGGAGCCTCTTGGGCGGTGCTTTAGCGCCGGAAACACGAAACAGCGAGAATGCAACAAACATTTAAATAAAAACCATGAAAATCAACGATTCTGGCCCTCTCGGGGCGCTCTTCGGCGGCATCTTAAAGGCCTCTTGGGGCGTCTTGGGGGCCTCTGGGCCAATTTAAACGCATCGTGCGTCGACGGAGATCCCTGGACGTTGTCTTGGGGGTGTCTCGAGACCGCGCCGCCGGGATTGCTGTCTGAGGGCTCCCCGGGGCGATTTTAAGCCTCCCAGAGGCGGGCCCAGGCCCCGGGCCACACATTTGTGGTCGGGGTCCCGGCCCACGGCCCCCAGACCCAGTCCCCCGTTATATGTATACAAGGACCCATGGAGAAAACTTGCCGGGAGTAGTGACACCTCCCTGCGGCATGCGAGATGCGACTCCGCATCCCATCGCCCACTGGCCTCCCGTGCCGCAGCTCAGGCCATGTTCCTCTGAGGCCGGGCGGCTCAGGCGACAAAACGGAAACGCCCCCCTGGCCTTATCCTGGAACTGCCGGAGCAGGATGGGAGCGCACGCTGCATGCCAATGTGCCACGGCCACGCGCCAGAAGAAACCAGCCCTGCCACCAGGCGCCCCATGGAGACGACCCTGTGCACCCAGCGGGGTTTATGGACATCCCGCGAAGTCCGACATCGACAGAAGAATGTGCCCCGAGATGTCTCAGAGCAAGACTTCTTAAGGTATGCACCCGGCGCACTGGAAGGCCAAGACAGCAGCCGCTGCCTCTCCCAGCCGCTGGGCGCTTGCACTTCATCCACACCTGCCTGTGCCTCTTGGAGAGCCGCTCGGCCACGGCGGCAGGCGGCACAAGCCAGCCACCCCCATGGCAGCCACAGACCAGACTTCCCACTGCTCCGACCTGCTCTCAAGATCGGCTGCCTCCTCCGCCTCATTCTCCTCCTCATCCTCATCCTCATCATCATCCTCCGCCTCACCCTCCTCCTCCACATCCTCCTCCTCCTCCTGCTCCTCCTCCTCCTCCTCCTCCTCCTCCTCCTCCTCCTCCTCCTCCCTCCTCCTCCTCCTGCTCCTCCTCCTCTGCTCCTCCTCCTCTTCCTCCTCCTCCTGCTCCTGCTCCTCCTCCTGCTCCTCCTCCTCCTCCTCCTTCTCCTGCTCCTGCTCCTCCTCCTCCTTTTCCTCCTCCTTCTTCCTTCTCCTCCTCTTCCCTCCACCTCCTCCTCCTCCTCCTCCTCCTCCTCCCCCTCCTCCTCACTTTCCTGTTCCTTATGAATAACCCCTCCCTGTCGCACACCGAGGCCAGTCGGAAGCGAGCAACGACGACAGCGAGCGCACAAAACCCGCCCTGCCCCACCGCGGCAACGGCGACGCCGCCCAAGATCAGCGCCACGGCCCGTGCACCCCCCGCCTGGGCGGCGCGCCAGGGCACCCACCGGGGATAGCGCCAGAGAAGCTCCCGCACAAGCTGAGGCACAGAGAACTCACAGGACGATGCTGATGCGTGCGGCGACAAAACATGAGCCTTACGCGAGCTGACGTAGCAGCTTGACGCGGCGGCGTACGCGGGCCACCAGCACAGCACGCCAGACTGAGGACGAGGGCGCTCGCGCGCAACCTTACGCGGGCAGCTGACGCGCGAACGTCGGCGAAGACGACCCCGTTTGTTGCGTCGGTGATGCCATGATGGTATCGGCTCAGGATAGAGTCGGCAGGCGTGCAGGAGGGGAGGGACAAAACAGACAGGGCAGCACCGAAGGACGGGGGGAGGCGGAGAGCACTCAGACGTGGAGGGATTCCAAGCAGAGTGCGCCGGCGCGGCCAGCAGCGGCAGCGGGGGCCGTGGCAGCAGCCGGGCGAGGCCAAGACACACGGGCACAGGGCGGGAGCCCGCAGAAGTTGCAGCACGAGCTCGTCCCCCCCGCGAGGCCCGCGCGGCGCCGCGCTCACAGCGGGCGCGGCCGCGCGGCACGAGCGGCGGAGGGCGTGCTCCAGGGGGGGGCACCACGCTCGAGCGGCCGCGTGGCTGCGCCGAGGAAGCGGCGCGCGCCGCGGCCTCCCGCAACAACAGTGGAGGCCAGCCCACAAGAAGCCTTCCACAAGAAACCCAACCCTGAGACCCCAGGACGTCCATTGGTTCTTGGTGTGGGAACGCCGCGCTTGCCATCGCAAGACTCCTCGGCGCGCACGTCGTCCCAGGGATGACGACGCACACGGAGCACTGGCATGGTGGGGTGACGCCGAAACCTGTGGCTTCTCCGCCAGCGTCGCCGTTGCAGCCAGACACCGGGGAGGCGGCCCCGGCCTACGCTGGGGCCCCCTCGGGCAGCGGACGGGTGGGGGGCAGGCGACTGAAATGTTTGTAGCTAGCGAACCCGCATCCTTGAGCATTCATGCGATCACGGTCGAATATCTTCTTACACTAAGCCTGCCTGCATGCTACTAATCATACAACAGATACTACACTTGATCTTAGCCAAGAGGGAACACGAAATCTCACTCTCATTCTACTCTCTAGGAAAACTGTGCAAAGATTGAGGCAGCCCGAGCGGCGCCTTCCACACGCTACATTGATGTCGGAAATGTTCTCCAGCACGGTGCTGAAGCTCACAAAATAGTAGAGTAATCCAGAAATCATAGAAAGTGATACGTCAGAAAATACTCTCCTCTGTGATGTTCGTGCAGCCAATCTAGTCGAACCTCTGGATACTCTCCAAGTCAGAATCTGAGAAAACTCCAGGTCGATGTAACATACGCTTGCAGGTTATCGGTTTCTTGCTTCCATGAAACTTGGCGATGCCGGTTGTGAGTAGGTACATGAGCTGAGGAAATGTTCCAGGTTTCGTCAAAGCGTCACTCAGCATCACGTCCGTCGGAATGTGCAATGTATTTCGCACTCGTCCTGTCATTCTTTCTTCTCTCAAGGCCATGATGGCCAGCCTCTGCTGACGGTCCTGAGGTACTCCTTTCAAGCCTGTCACCAGCTCGAACATGTCTTTGCAGTCCGTCAAGTGGTCAATCGCAACTACGTACTGGCCTGTGTTATTCATCTCGATGAGAACGGATATCATCTGCTTCGTGGTGCAGCTCAGAGCCAGGTGCATCTCCGAGAGTCTCATGGCAACCATCTGAGCTCCTGACACCACTGCCAGTCCACAATTAGTCTCGCCCGTCGAAGTCGAGTGCGCAACCTTTTTTGCCTTGCTACTTATTGCCATGAGTACGTGACACCTGCCAGTCAGAGCCGATGCGTCCAACAGCAAGTGAGCCTCGTCAACCTTCAATTCCTTGTCCTCCATCAGCAACACGAACTGTCCCTCCTGAGGGTACACTGAAGACTTAGTAGTGTGGTTCGCATCGCCAACAGCTCGAAGACAAAACGGAGGATTCAGCATGGGATAGTGCAAGCCCACCAATGTCGTATCTCCTTGAGCTCGCTTGAGTAGTGCATTGGCCCTCTTGAGGTGCATGATCCTGGGCTCGTTGTTGAAACCTTGCAGCTGGGTCACCTCCGTCATGATGTGAAGGTTGCACTGACATAGGAACAGCATCGATGTAAGTATGCTCCGGAACCCATGAGCAAACACTCCTGTCACCATTTTGTCATCAGCTCCATCAGGTACTTGGCAGAAAGGTATCTTGCTCAGGTGATCAACTTGTTGAAGCAATATCGTGCCGTCCTTCAGTCTCATATATTGTGCCCCATTGTGTGTGAATGGCAGCTGCTGTCTCTTCACCGCTCCAAACTTGCCTTCCAGCAACTTCCTCAGATACTCCAGGTGTTGAGAGCGTCCAGCTGACAAGAGATCGTCAACATGAATGGACAGTGCCGCTGCGATATCATCAATGGAGCGTGCCTCTTGAGCTCTGTCACGAACTTCAGCCGGTAGATCTCGATGGGTCCAGTAGACGAAGTTCTCGTCCCAAAGACTTACCCTCGCATGAAGCACATCCACCAAGAAAAGAGTGAGCGCTACTTGCCACAAGTGTGGCGCGTCGACCAGGCCGTACATCGGCTTCAGCAGCTCCAAAACAAATAGGTCGATGTCCCACTCCTTCACGTGGATGCCACTGTTCGGCAGCCTGTCCAGCAGTCGCCAAACATTGGCCGGAGGTGCCAGGAACACCTTGCGCACCGTCTCGCAGTTGATCTTGAGCTCCTTCGAACGACGTCTGATCTCGTCGAAGCTCAGCCCTTGCAAGAAAGCCGTGCTGATGTCCCAGCTCTCGAGCTCGAAACCCTCGTGCACCTGCGCGGTCGAGACGATCAGCTTCTGACTCAACCTGCTGGCGGTGCTCGAGTGGCGCTGGATCTCGTGCTTCTGCTTGTCGAGGAAACCTCGTCCGCACAGCCGGCTCTTGATGATCCACTCCTTGCGTTTCGCATCATACTTCCACTTCCTGACCCATGTCGCGTCGATGGTGTTGCTACTGCCCATCGTGCGCCGCGCTTTGCACGCGAAAACCTTGTGATCAACAAAGGCCTGCAGCTCCTTCGAGTCGGCCTCTTCTACTAACTGCCAGTGGGTCAGAACATCCTCCTCACTCAGGTTGTCAGACTCTTTCACGCCGACATGGGACTGCACCTCACCAGTGCGCATGCAGAACAGAAAACAGGTATCCTGGCGCCATGGTCCTCGAATAGTCCACAAAGCCTCCTTGGAGTTCCATGGCAAGTCGCTCATCTGGATGCTGGAAAGGTATGACTGCGCCTCACTGTGGCTCTCGAGGATGTGCGAGAGGGAGTCGTCAATGTAGGACTCCTTCAGCTGGTTGACCATCTCTGTTTCGCCAGACTGCCAATTGATGACGCTGTTCATCGTGTTGTGGCGAGCGAAGAGATCTCGTTCTCCGTCCATGAGTGGTACAGCGCCAGTGTCCTGACCATCTGCTGCTGTCTGATCCAGGATGTTCTCCATCTCTCCCGTAAGGTCCAGCTCCTGAGGTTGTGAAGCTTCCACCTGTACTGGTTGATCAGCTTGATCGAGATGAGGTCTATCTCCTGGTGCAGGTGAGCTTTCATCATGATCTTCTGTCCGCCGCCGAGGATGCCTCTGCTGCAAACTCATCGTACTGGCTTGCTCCATGTCGTCATGATATCGTTTGTCGTGGGTCGTCCTCTCTAAATCTTGCGCGTCTGTCGCGGTCTCCATCCGCGGTACGAGCATGCTGTTTTCATCGTCAATGTCTGCCTGAACGAGGTCACTCAATTCCTTCGCGAGATCGTGCTCGTGAGCCTGCCCAGGTTCCAACACAGCAGGTGGTGTCTCCTCTGTCGTTGGCGATGTACCAGGTGCCACTGTCGTAGGCGATCCGGTGGGGCTCACACGTTCCTTGCGATCGTCCAGTCGAACTCGTCGTGGTATGTCTGATGCAGGTGATTGACCTGATGCCGATGTCGCAATAGGTACATATGGAACCATCTGCACATCAGCGGAAGCTGGAGGAGGTGCCGCCGCAGTGTCAGTAGACCCTGGCCTCAAGATTGTCGGTGGCCCAACTGGATTGGTGTGAACTTCTGTTTGGACTTGAGGTCCGATGCCCGATGTCGATGATGTGCCTGGTGTCGGAGTCGCTGTAGTCCTGATCGGGTTCTGGTCAATCACTTTGCTCAGTTCTCGAGATATGTCCATGTGTTCTGTCTCCTCCATGATCCTGCTGAGGTCCCGTGATAAATCCATGCTCGCATCTAGATCTCCAACAGGAGGTGATGTCCTATGTATATCTTCCTTCCCGACAACTGGAGGAAAAGGATGAGCAACTGATGGTGCCGAGGCCGTCTGTGTCGGTCTCGTCTGTGATGCTGTAGATGCCGGTGTTGCAATTGCGCTTCCAGAGCGTCCAGGTAGCCAGGGCTGCACAACTGGCTCCACAGGTGGAGCAACAATGACACCTTCACTCTGATGAGGTTGTGCCTCTTGTTGTGGTGCAAACGGCTGTGTTGCTCCAGGACTGTCGATTGTGGCCTGATCCAGTTGACTCTTTTCCGCTGGCTGTGTGTCGGCTATGGCGTCCTGATCCATCCAGTCGTCCAAGTCGGGAAGCAAGCTTATCATGTCATGAACGTCACGGTTCACGTCGATCGCCGATTCGGGTACTGGCTCGATGCGAGACAGGTCATTCATGTCTGGCAAGTGGTGCTCGTCGAGGAAAGGGTCCGACTGTGATGGTATCGAATAGTACATCATGAACGAGGTATTCTCCCACTTGAAACTTACCAGACTACCAACTGTCACGCCCATGCTCGGGTCGATCTCGTAGGTCATGTAGTTGGTGCGATCCTTTCGTTCCCACAAGACAAGTAAGCCGAACCGAACTGCATGTAGTGGTGGTACCCTGCGCAGCGACGTGCCGTACAATATGCCGTCCAAGCTTTTTAAGTGAAATATCGTTCTGTACGTCATCATGCTCAACTTCCAGGGCTGAAGATTTACCAGTGTCTTGGCATCAGGTGAGCACTTGACCTGACCATCCTGAGTGATTGTCCTGCCGAGCCGTGTCACCTGTCCATAGATGCTGCCGTCCACGATGTCCATCAGCCTGCCCAGGGTGTTGAGCATCTGCTGGTCGTCTGTCTTGAGCTCGGAGATGTTGGTTGCCTGATACGTTAGGAAACCGACCAGGTGCCTCCTGAGGTACCGCACCGGCAGAATGTAGGGTACTCCGTTCCAGACAACTATCGCCGTGCCCTCCGAGATCTTGACGAGCTCAGCCTGGCCGCGCCAGCCTGGCTGATCTTTGCGGTCTGGTACTCTGTAGATGTCGACGGACTCTCCGACCTTCAGCTCCTGTTCGGGTCCGTGTTGTTGAACGCGTGTCCTGTTAGCTCGTGCAACTCTGTCCTCAACGATCGCTCGTGCCATCTCTGCCTTCGCAAGAAGACGAAGCCTGACAGCTGCCTCGAACGGATCGGGGCAGCTCACGTCGGCGCTCTGCACGGAGTCCAGCGTGGTGGCCTCAAGGTCGTAGTAGTCATTGGGTGTGAAGCCTAAGACCACTTGCGTCGCCGTCTGACCTCCGTAGCTGACCATACTGTTGGAAACCATGGCCGCCTCCTGAACTAAGTCCGTGTCCGAGACCTCGAATCCCTGCGTGGTGCAGGTACGCTTGAGCTTCATGGCACAGAGTCGAACCAGCTGAATCCAACGTTCCACCAGACCGGTCATCGTGTGGTCGTCGGTGCCGGCATACCGTCGCTTGATGTTCAGCTTGTCGCACGTCCTGGAAGAAAGTTCTGAGACGAGGCCGCCTTCCTGGTCCAGAACCATGATCTGCATGGGCCCGAAATATCTGATCCATGACCTCATCAGAGTAGTCAGTAGCTCCTTGGGCGTGCGATCTGCGACGATGTCCGCCACTTTGTATCTGGACAGTTCGTCTATGACCAGAAGCCACACCTTGTCCCACATGAAAAACAAGTCTAGCTGAACTCTGTGGTTGAAACGTAGTGGTACTGTGATTCCAGCACGTGGTTTTGCAAGAGGTCTGGCCAAGTCCCTGCACACAGAACAGGCCAGACAGACCATTGTGATAACTGCGGCCAGCGTCTTGTTCCAGCATTCTGCACTCTTGAGGAATATCACCATGTCCGGCACGGGAGCGCGCCAGAACCTGATGTGAAAACCCAGCAGCAACTGTAAGATCTCCTTCTTGTCGGTAGCCTCCTTCAGGCGAGAGACCATCTTGCTGAGATCGAAGTTGGGCTTGACGTCGTACCACTTCTTCATAGCAATCTCTGGCTCCTCCACCCTTTGCTTGCTCGTGATCCGCCTCCTGGCCGGCCTTTCCTGAGAAGGATCAGGATGAGGAGGAGGAGGTACCTCAACACCCGGAGCTCCTGGTACAGGTTGAGGTTTTTCTCCTGGTGGTGCTTCGTCAAGAGGATGAATAGCTGGCTCGTCTTCGTCGTGCTCTTGGGGCTCCTGCTTCACTTCGTCCAGCTCTTGAGGCTCATATTTCACTTCGTCGTGCTCTTTGGGCTCCTGCTTTACTTCGTCGTCATCGGGTGCGATCTCAGGAGCCTCATCAACTTCTGCCTTTGGTGCTGCTGGTGCCTCTTTATCTTCATCATCTGTGTGCTGCGGTGCCTTAGGTGCCCGGGGAGCAGCCTTGCGTGGTGCCATCCTGCAGTTGCCCGGCTTGCGAGTGTGATCTGCGTCCGTCTTGTTGCCGAGCCGGCACCTCTCGCACCCCCAGTGAATCTGGTGTCTCACGATCCTGATGATGTCCTGCACAATAGCATCACAGAAATTCTTTGGATAGACTGCCGCCTTGGCTGTGCGCTTGATGCCGTCGACTGCGCCAGTCAAGTGTCCATGAGGTATCTTGCATCTGCAATGTCGTGTGCTCGCTCTCAAGGAGAATGTAGAATCCAGTCGTGTCCGTTTCCGAATTGGTTCACCGAGCTCGTTGGTCGCGCCGAATGAGCACTGGTCTGCTGCGTAGCTCCTCATGATGTTCATGTCGACCACGCCTGTGTAGTCAGACTTGCTCCAGAAATCGCTGTTGTGTGGATTCTCAACGATATGCTGCTGCTCGGTGTCCGCTGTCTGTTTGATGTCATTCAGCATGAAGATGATAGCTGGTGCCTGTGATCTTCTCTCGCTTTCCAGGGCAGCCGGATCCTTGTGTCTGCTGGCGATAGACCATGGCTGACAGGTAGGTGCCCACAAGGTTGTGCCGATGTGGCACTTGCCGCGAAAGGTGCTCAGCAACCTCTGGTGGTGCTTGTCAGACATGTCCCAGCCGTATCGATAGTCCACAGGAAAGCCAACCATGAGACCCTGCAGTGATGCTCGCCGAGAGAACCTGCTGCTGCCGGACATGCGCTCCTGCACGTCCACATGGTAGATGCTCATGTGCTCCATCCAGCTCTCCAGGTTCTCGGGTGTCACGACAGGTAATTGACTCTCGAAGTAGAACTCCTCCGGCATGGCCCGATAGCCTATGTCGAGCTGCTTGGCTTTGTTGGTGTCCATCTTCTTGGGCCACATGTTGACACCAGTCCATCTCGATGCTTTGAAAGTTCGCCACCTTCTGTAGTAGTCCTTGCTGTCCGAGTAGATCGTGTCGGTGTTGGTGCTGATGGCATTGTAGACCTCCGATCTCACTCTCATTCTACTCTCTGAGGTCTGTGCTTCTTCGTTCTTGGTTGCATCCAACTCCGTTGCTTCAGTCCTGGACAAGGCAATCGTCTCCTTCTTCCCGCTGGGCACGCCACCTTGCTGCAAGTCAGGTACATAGCTGCCGGCGTCCAATGCATTGGACAAGGCAAGCGTCTCCTTCTTCCCGCTGTGCATGCCTCGATGCGAGTCAGGTACATAGATGCCGGCGTCCAGTGACTGATGAGCCTCGATCTGCTTGTCATCCCTGTCTGTGTTTGTCATCAATACCGTATCCAAAACTGTCGTGGTGCTCTTGGGTGTGTCCTCATCTAAAACCTTCGCCATGTAAGCCTTCACCGCCTGCTTGAGTCGGTCTCGCTCGCGGCCAGTGCCAGCCTGCGGGTCGTCGATCGGAAATAAGTAGTGGCCGGAGTCCGTGTAGAGAGCCCTCATGTAGCAGGTCGGTCTCACCTTGTTCCCGAGACCGTCCAATGTGTTGATGATGAGGACTCCGTCTCGATTCGGTAGGATGCCGGTGAGAAGGCCCATGGTGTTATTGATCATCGTCTCCAAAGGCATCAGAAGAGGGCATCGACTGCCGCTGCCACCGAGCATATCCATCGTGAAACTCGAGTTGGGCAGCGCGTCCAGGTTCAACGGTAACTTGCCCAGACCCAGTGATGGATTCGGAACTCCATCGATGCCTGACAGCTTGGCCGAAGAAGACTTCACCTCCAACTTCTGGCCTCGTGGCTACAGAAGTGCCTGACATACTTCACGCAACGTCTCGGTGCCTCCAAGACCTTTTGCAGCTCCTGGATCAATGATGATGCCGAGTCTTTTATCTCCACGTACTGAGTGATATGCCACCGAGCCGTCGTTCGTCGGGTCATCCTCCTCGTGAAAGATGTGATTGCTGAGGAATGACGTGTGCATGATGTCCGCGAACGAGCCCTTGGTAGGGGACCCAGTCATCTGAGACGTGCTCGAGGTGCTGGTCGTAGGTCGAGGTGATGTCGGTTGGCCAGCTTCTGCTTCTGATCTCTCTGTGTCGACAGGTACACTCTCACGCTGAGGAAGGTCGAATGCTCGCGTCGCTGATGTCGATCATGTCCTGGCTGATCGTGATGTCTGTGTCGGAGCACGAGCTGAGGTACCAAATATATCTGAAGCAGCCGGTCGATCTTGGCGAAAGGGCGTCTCGGAGATAGTCTCCAAGAGAGATGTCTTTGGCTGATGCTCCGTTTTCTGCTTACCTTTTCCCTTCTTGCCCTTTTGACCTTTGCGAAGTCGGCTGTAGGGATATCCGTGGTGCTCCTCAGCTTCCTCGTCATCACAGACTCCGTCCATCACATCACGATCTACAGCCCGCTCGCCATAAGACGTTCCTGAATACTCATAATCATCCGCATCGTCGTCCTGGTCCAGCTTGTATTCAGGGCAATCGTGATACACGGAGGCGTCCACTGGTGATTCTGGCGTATATGGCGATGGCGATGTTGGCAAGTCCCAGGAACCAGTACTGTGTGATGAGACCGATGGTGCTGACTGTCGCAAGGGCAGGTCGTCGTACGCGGCCAGGTTAATCCTCGGGTCGTCGCCTGATACTCCAGCATGAAAGGAGACCGTCGAGAACCCTTGACCAGATTGCTGATGGGCTTGTCCAGGCTGATGACGGTTGGCCGGACAGTCTGTGCTCTTGTGCCACTTCGAGCCGCAAGTACTACATCCGCTACCTTTGTTGCTGTCCTGAGTGTTGTGCTTGCCGTACTTCTTGCCACCTTTCCTGTCGCCCCACATGCTCTGGTCCGTCGGCTCCTCGTAGTGGTTGCTCTTGTACCAACGTCCTTTTCCATGTCCGAAACCACGACCGCGAGATTTGCTGCGACCACGTCCTCCTTTGCCCTTGCCACTCTTGCCTTTACCTTTCCGTCGAAAGCCGCCGAAGCGGAAACGTCTCCTGAAACCGTTCATCTGGTACGCCTGATCCAGCTCCTGCTCGTCAAGCCACGCCTCGATGTCGTTGGCCTCGTACCAGATGCCGTTGTCGTCGTAAGCTCCGTAGGTCGCCTCACCAGTCTCCGTCCAGTACTCGCGATAGTGTAGGCCGCTCTCCTCGTCATGTGTCCAGTCTATCAACTCTACTCCTTCGTCGTCATAGTCCTGGTAGTAGTCCACGACATGGTCCGAAACTTGGTCATCGTCCATGTAGTGATGTGCGTGTCCACTGCCTGATGCCATCTCCTGCTTGGCAATCCTTGTTAGCATTGAATACACTGTCTGAAACTGCTCCAGATATCCGTTGATGTGGAGTTTGATGTCTGCGATGCGCCTGACAGGCAAACCACACCATTTGAACAGCATGTGTGTCAGTCCGACATTGCTGATCGTCAAGTCCGCCTTGTCATTCGCCTCGGTATATCTCTCACGAAAACTCAATAGAAACTCTTGCAACGTCTGATTGCCACGCCTCGTGTCCAGGAATTTGTCGAGGTACTCGCCCTGCTTGTCCTGATCGTGGATCTCGAACGCCTCAGTCAACTTCTGCATCAGGTGACCAGCTCAACTTATATCGGCCTGCTGTGTGATGTTCCCGTTGGCATCTCGCTCTTCTGACTGCCGAGGAAGTGAGAGGGCTGCGTCACCTGTGTGCTTCACTCCATCTCGCGTGATCTCCAAGTTCATCGCGACAGTGAATGCTCGATCCAACAACCTTGCCGCCATTGATGGACCAGCCTCACGTTCGTCCAGCGGGGTCAGCCGCCACCATAGGTGAAGTCTCTGCATGTAGGCCTTGAACGGATATGCGTCGTCGAGCGGTTTCCATCCTGGCGGCACGAACCGAGTGAACTCCTGCAGTGATGCTGGCGTCTTATAATCTCCCATACTTCTGACAAGAAACTCGATCAATATCTATGCTCAAAGATGCTCGCGATACTTGTCGGCCCTGCGGGCCCGGTAAGGTATTAGCCTCCCAGCCTAGAAGATGCTGATCTCCGCGCTGAGGAGGTCGAAGGGGGTCACCTCGCGGGTGACGAGAAACCTGTGGGTGCCGTTCACCTCGTAGGTGTTGAACCCGTTGTAATAGTACACGGAGTCGCCCTGCGGGAGCGCGAGGCCGAGGAACGTGCTCCTCGATGGCGGCGCCTGGGGGGCGCCGGCGCGCGCGGGGGCCGCGCGTGGAGGGTAGGAAGCCGTAGCTCCGCTACCAAACTGAAATGTTTGTAGCTAGCGAACCCGCATCCTTGAGCATTCATGCGATCACGGTCGAATATCTTCTTACACTAAGCCTGCCTGCATGCTACTAATCATACAACAGATACTACACTTGATCTTAGCCAAGAGGGAGCACGAAATCTCACTAGGCGCAGGGGGGAGGAGGAGGAGGAGGAGGAGGAGGAGGAGGAGGAGGAGGAGGAGGAGGAGGAGGAGGAGGAGGAGGAGGAGGAGGAGGAGGAGGAGGAGGAGGAGGGGGTGGCAGGCGCAGGGGGCCAGATGCGGGAGGCGATCACGCCACGGGGGTTGCCGCCACCGTTGCCACTGCCGCTGGAGCTGCTGGTGCTGGCTCTGCTGCTGCTGCTGCTGTTGCTGCTGCTGCCGCTGCTGCCACGTCTGCATTTCGCAGTGCTTCCACTGCTGGTGCGATGCCTGCTGCTGTTACTGATGCCGCTGCTGTTGGCTGTAAGGCTGCTACGGTGCACCATAAGATAGCAAGCCTACCATAAACGAAGATGCTGGAACTCTGACAACCCACGAGCGCATGACGGCTACAATATGTGGTCATGCGCCTGCATATCACGCTACCCTTTGAGCGCTGATAGCCCGCAAGGTTGCGCGAATTGTGGGTTGTACGTCGAACTTGAGCCATGGGAAAATTCCACGTGTGGTGCTTCGATGGCCCACAACTGTCTCATGATGGCACCATCAGGTTGTGAATCGCCTCACCTAGATAGCAATTTCTGAAGCTGCGCTGGCTATTGCGAGGGTCGCACTCTGGAACATTGAATCACGGCACCACGCTGGTTGTTGGATTTCGATAGCTCACAAGGTGCAAGATACCATCTGGAATTCTATCCTGTCTCAAAGCGCACCTTCTCAGGAGGTGAGAGGGGACAATCAGAATGAGGAGGGGCGAAAAAAAAGAAAGGGACGGGGGGAAGGAGGAAGCGGAGAAGGAGGAGAAGGAGGAGGAGGAATCATAACAAGAAAAAAATGGGGGTGGGGGAGGAGGTGGGGGAGGAGAAGGAGGAGGGAGAGGGGGGAGGAGGAGGAGGAGGAGGAGGAGGAGGAGGAGGAGGAGGAGGAAAAGAGGAGGAGGAGGAGGGAGGGAAAAGGGAGGATGAGGAACATGAGGAGGTGGAGAAGGAGGGGAAGGAGGTGGCGGCGCAGCGCAGCGTTGTCGGGCAGAAGCCGAACTACATCGAACCGATCACGCCTCGAGACGAGGAGGAGGAGGAGGAGGAGGAGGAGGAGGGAGAGAGAGAGAGAGAGAGGAAGAGGAGGAGGAGGAGAAGAAGGAGGAGGAGATAGCACTCAGTGGGGATGCTCGTCTTCCTGAGCACCGGCCACCTTTACCCTGGGGTAGGAAAATGACCCAAATCTAGACAGTATCTCCTTGTAAAATGCCACGAGCATTGGCCGAGCAGGCCGCAATAGTCCTGGAACGGGCCCGAAAAGAGCGACGAGCACGAGACGAATCCGGCAACCCACTTACATAGAGCAAGTTAAAAGTGGACTGAGTCAAATCTAGGGTAATGGCAATAGAGCGTACAGCAGCAATGGACAGGGAGAGGGGGATGCCAAACATCCAGGCGCTAACATCACCAGTGGCCCAAGAGGAGGGGAGATGGGGTAGAAGGGCACTCACGGCAGGTTGAAACGCAGGGCAATGAAGTGCACAACAACCGAAGAGACAACATTGGGTTCCAGATCTATACCTGGACGTCGTATTCCAACAATTGCACATCGTCTTGAATGCCGAGGCGAGGATGAAAGGGGGAAGAAGACCACCGACGATAGACATACATCTAACCTGGCGGTCTACCATATCTTCAGTACACGCAGGGAAAAAAGTCCTTCATGTGAGTGAGAATAGCACCACTGCTAGACCTGCCAGGTTTGTTCTGAATGTAAAGTTTCAGTGCTGAGAAAGGGGAGCCGAGGGCAGATCAGGGATCGCAGTGAGCTCCGCCCACACCTTCTCGAGGTAAGAAAGAATAGAACTCTTGAATAGCGGCTGTTGCTTGCACGCTACCACCCATTTATCCCCCTCAAGAATCTCCCCCACCGTCCTCCGATTCCTGTCGAATGCAGCGCACTTGCAGCATACTCGGTAGGCCGACGCCTTGCAGAAGAGAGCGAGGTGGCGAACCTGCTGCGATAAGCCAAAGTCAGTCAGCTTATACATAGGGCGCGGGGTGATCGCATTGTTCGGACCACACGTCAGGCGGGAAGTAGATTTGGCTTCTGCACGTGGTAACTCATTCGTCGGCGGAAAGACTGGGGCTACATTAGCCACATACAGAAAAAGCAATAATGTTGTAGGCTTCGATGTTCTGGCAAAAAGATAAGCTCAGCGCATTGAGATGAATACTTCGCTTCCTCAGAGAGCCAATCGGACCAATCCAAGACTTGTCCCGAGATCCCACTCCAAGAATCATTCCAACGTGTTTCCCACATTCTGAGATCTTGAACGTACGTACCCGAAGACCCCTGGCTTTGAACTTAGCTTTGACGGAATCTAAATCGAACTGGCGGGGGATGATGATTCGAGTCTTGGCGGGGTGCATAAGGAGCCCCGTGCAATGAGACTGGTTCAGCAAGCCGCAGACTACCTTGGGTAAATATTCGAAAATATTGACGGCCATCAGTGCAAGGTCGTCGGCGAAGCCGCGCAGGGAGAAGGCGGGGTCAAACTGGGAGCCAGAGAAACTACGCAGGCACCTCAGGACCGAATCAAAGCAGACCGCAAACAGGGCCCCCGACATAAGACAACTTTGTTTGACACCACGTTCAACTTGGAACAAGCAGCCAGTCGCGCCTCTGAAGTTCACATAGGTGGCGGCATTCGTATACCGAGTCAGAATAGCGCGGCTATACCAATCAGGAACTCCAGCCTTCTCTAGCACATGCTGGACCCATTGGAATTGGAGACTGGGGAAGCAGTTTTCATATCAAAACAGCAGGCGCCACACTCTCGCTCGCATTCCATATCATTGAAAATCGCCATGGCGGAGTCGATGCCAATGACGTGCTCCAGTCCTTGGCGGCCAGGGGCAAAACCCCTCTGGATACCGCGACACAGGTAGGAGGAAGCTTGAGAGAGAGGGGAGATGAGGGCGGAAGCAAGGAGCTCGTTGTCCGCGCTGCTGAGGGTGAGAGGGCGGGCGGAGACAGGGCCCCGAGTTTGCCCTTGCTGAGAGGGGCCGTTGTCACCTTTCGGTAGGGATGCTGCCGCGCCTTCGTTGAAGGACTCGTGGACCGTGCCGCCAGAGATCGCGCGCTGATATAGCCCACGCAGTGCGGCAGAAAGGATGCGGCCTCCAGCCTTCCAAGCGCCATAACTAACACCGTCAGGTCCAGGGGCTGACTCACGAGACCGACGGAGTAATTCCTGGAATTGCTCTTCTGAAATACCCCAAGACGTGCCGGAGCTAACCGTTTTGACGCGCGGGTCGAGGAGCTTGAAATGTTCGGGGTCCACAGATCTACGCTTGGCGATATCCCCCCAATAATCGGCCAGCGCCTTGGCGGAGTCCCCAGGAATACCGTAGGGGTTCCCATGGGGGGGCCAGTGATGCTGCGCAGGAAGATCTTCCTGTCGCACGGGGCCCAGGCGGCAGCAAGCTCGCGTAAGCGAGAAATACGTTAGTCCTTCCTGTCAGGTTTCACCGATGTATCAGACACTAGCAACTGCTCCCCCCTCTGCAAAGACACGAGCATGAGGGATGACAACTCCTCCTGCAACTTCTGTCGGTCGTGCCACTGCATCACCGTGCAGTCGAAAAAAGAGACCAGATGCGGGTACGCCGCGGCTGCTATTCTCGCAGTGGCACAGTCGCTATAGCGAGAGGCTCTGGGAAGTGCAAGCATCCAGAAGATTTGTTCTTCGACGCTCTGAGGTCCTCGGAATTCATGGTGGACTTTGACCCTACGGGCGGCTTCATAAATCACCCCCCTGCAATCCAGAACTCTCTGAACGGGATCCAGGGCCAAATCGATGTCCTCAAGGATGCTATTGATCTCGCTCCTAAAGATAGGCGAGCGCATCACCCATCTCGGGGTAATCGGTCGACTGGACGAGGGGGCAGGGGCAGAGAGAGCCACGAACACGGCGACGCGGTCGCTGGGAAGCGAGTCCTGAAAAAGGTCGGAGACGACCCCAGAGATGGGCTTGTGGTCCAGGAGAACCAGACAGGGAGTAGAAACGTAAATCCGATCAATCCTTCCCACTGAAATAACTCGATCGCCCCTGATGGTTTTGCGAGTGCGGTTCGGCTGGAATATTGCTGCATACCCTTGGCTCTGGCCCAGGAAGAAGTTGAAGAGGT